CACGAGGCCATGCGTTTAGACTGGAAGAAAGAAGATTTCGCCTAAGGCAAAGGAAAGGTTTTTTACTGTAAGAACAATCAGGATGTGGAATTCTCTGCCTGAGGAAGTGGTTTTATCAGAGTCCATACAGATGTTCAAACGGCTACTAGATGCATACTTGCAAGAACAGAATATTCAAGGATATAATCATTCAATGTAGGGTAATAACTGCTTGATCCAAGGATAAATCTGACTGCCATTCTGGGGTCAAGAAGGAATTTTTTTCCTAGCTTGTCGCAAAATTGTGCTTCAAACTGGGTTTTTTTGCCTTCTTTTGGATCAACAGCAAAAAAACCAAATGTGAGGTAGGCTGAACTTGATGGACGCAAGTCTCTTTTCAGCTATGTAACTATGTAATTAATAGAAAAGTACACTTTGTATAATGTTATATATAAGATAGATATATATTTATCTTTACATTTATTAACTATATTACAATATAACTTTTTATATTGGCAGCACTTTGGACACCTATGGCGGCCATGTGACCGCTCTTTTAGCGGGGGTCCTAAATTGGAAAGGGGGGACTGTCTGGGCTCCCCCCTAAGAAGACCGATCGCCGGCAGGGGAACGGCGGCGATCGGTAAGTACATGGGGACGGAGAGGGAGGGGTTACATTTAAAAAACAAACAAACTGATGGCTTCCAATGCTCTGCCTCCCTGCCGGGCTCCATGTGGAGCAACCCAGAAGTGGGGGGGTATTGCAGCGATGCCTCAACATCGAGGCATCGCTGCAATACCACTAGAGCTGCTCCAAGCGATCATGATCGCTTCCAGTGCTCTAATTCCCCATGGACACATCAGGTTAAGGACCATTTTTTGTCAGACGTACCCGATACGTCCTTGGTGGGGAAGGGGTTAATTTGAACTAAAAGTCCTGTTTCTCCTGAATAAAATTACATATGTGTGGGTGCACTTAATATGAAAGCAGTAAATATTAACCCTTAAGGACTGAGCCAAATGTACATGTTGTGATCAAAACAAAACGTAAACAAAACCTGGCATTTGCGCTATGTCTAATCAACCGTAATTCACCTCTTTCATATTAAATGTACACACACTTATTATATATCATTTTATTAAGGGGAAACAGGGCTTTCATTTAAAATCAAATATTTAGCTATGAAATATAATTTAATATGAATAAAATATTTTAAAAAAATGGGAGAATTTTTTTTTTGTTCTATGTGACATTTTAACTGTAAATGTCATAATACTATTTGCTTTTACTGCAATAAAATACACATATTTGTATTCAGCGATGTCTCACATGTAAAACAGTACCCCCTATGTACAGGTTATGGTGTTTTGGGAGGTTACAGGGTCAAATATAGCATGTTACATTTTTCAGTTTTTTCACATTTAAATTCGCCAGATTGGTAACGTTGCCTTTGAGACAGTATGGTAGCCCAGGAATGAGAATTACCCCCTTGATGGCATACCATTTGCAATAGTGGGAAACCCAAGGTATTGCCATCATGGGGGTAATTTTCATTTCTGGGCTACCATACGGTCTCAAAGGCAATGTAACAAATCTGGCGAATTTCAATGTGAAAAAAATGAAACGCAAGCCTTATATTTGACTCTGTAACTTTTGAAAACACCTTAAAACCTGTACATGAGGTGTACTGTTATACTCGGGAGACTTCGTTGAACAGAAATATTTGCGTTTCAAAACAGTAAAAAGTATCACAGCAATAATATAGTCAGTGTAAGTGCCATTTGTGTGTGAAAAATGCAAAAAAAATCACTTTCACTGACGATATCATTGTTGTAATATATTTTACTATTTTGAAACACTAATATTTGAGTTCCGCAAAGTCTCCTGAGTAAAACAGTACCCACCATATGCAGGTTTTATAGTGACTTGGAAAGTTATATTATTAAATTCCCTATACTTTCGGCCTGGGTTGTCCCGCAAATTGTAATTAATAAAATGACAATTATGTAAAAATATTACATAGAATTATACATAGAATTAATATAAGGGAAAATGTATCCATACTTACCATAATTTTCTTTTCCTGGTCATATGCCATGGCAGCACAACGATGCTCCCTCAGTCTTGTTACTAGCAATATCCCAGGGCGGGACCTTGGCATATGACCAGGAAAAGAAAATTACGGTAAGTACGGATACATTTTCCCTTTTCCTGGCCATATCCATGGCAGCACAACAATGGGTAATACCCAAGCAATAACCAAGGGAGGGAAGAATAAATAAAGAAACCACAGACTCTGAAATATCATATGCAAAGTGTATTGGTACCACAAACCAAATGACAAACACCAAAACTTCAGGAATCAAGGGTTTCATACAGAAAGGACACTTTTTAGCAAATTGGTCTGAATGACCGGCTCTGACATCCACTTGGTAATGTCTGATGAAAGTATTGGCAGAGGACCAAGTGGCAGCTCTACCAATCAGTTCAGGAGAGACCTTGGCAGAGGAGGCCCAAGAGGAGGAAAGGGATGTCGTGGAATGAGCTTTGAGTCCATGCGGGACTGGAGCTTTCGAGGCCTGATAAGCATGGATGATGGCTGAAACAATCCATCTGCTAATTGTAGATTTAGGAGCCTGACTACCCTTTCTACATCCATTATAAAGGACAAAGAGGCCTGGAGATAAACGCCAAGGGGCTGTTCTGTCATTGTAGATTCTGAGGCATCTCACCAAATCCAAGGAGGAAAGATCTCTGTCATCACCATCTACTTGTGGAACTGGATGCAAAGCTTTCCTCGTTAATATGAAAGAGGGAGGTGACCTTAGGCCGAAATTCTGGGATAGTACGAAGGACGACCCTGTCCTTATGGAAGACTGTGAAAGGCTCCTTGACTGACAGAGGAAATAGTGAACTGACAACGGAATCTTGATGGGCTGGAGTAGACTTTTTGAGGAGAATTGCAGGAGGAAGTTTGCCTGAAAGCTCCTTATTCTCCATTGTGCCCACCTTGTCAGTCCTATCGTGGAGGACATGGAACCTAGGAGACTCATTGCCTTCTTCGCTGAAGTCACCTTGCATGCCAACATCTCCAACCTGTTTCTGTATTCTCAGGATCCTCTCTGGGGAGAGTTGAACCCCCCCGTGGAAGTGTTGAACAGAGTACCCATGTATGTGATGGACTGACTCGGGCAGAGATGGCTCTTTTTGACATTGATCCTCCAATCGTGACGTTGTAGGAACTGAAGGCAAACAGTTGCATGGGAAGACAAAGTATCCTTGTCGTCCGCCACAATCTGGATGCCGTCCAGGTAATGGAAGATGGATATGCCCTGTTTTCTCAGTTCTGCGATGAGAACAAGCACTTTCGTGAAGGTCCTTGGAGCCGTGCTGAGACCAAAGGGCAAGGCCCTGAATTGGAAATGATCCTCCCCTACTGCAAACGTCAGGTATTTCTGATGCACCAGGGCTATACGGATGTGGAAATAGGCATCCAACAAGTCTATTGATAACATCCACTGATTGGGAAAGACAGCCTTCACTATAGATTGAAGGGACTCCATCTTGAATTTGCAGATATGCAAGTATTGATTCAGTCTATGTATATTTTGGATGGGTCTCCACCCTCCCGAGGACTTTTTGGTCATAAATAGGTGTGAATAGAAGCCATGAGTCCGGGACTTACAATGACTCCTTTTTGTAGAGAAGTGGTGAAGGCCTGGAGAGCAAGCCTTTTTACTTTGTCTCCCGGCCACTTTGTGATTTGGAAGGAACTGGAAGGAGGATGTTTGCAAAATTCTAGAAGATATCCCCTTCTGATGATATCCAGAGCCCAGTTGTCACTTACGGATTCCTCCCATTCCACATGGAATTGGAGCAAGTGAGCTCCAACACCGCCTCACAGGGAGATAAGCCCGTCACAGATTCCTGGGGTTCTTGGAGGGTATGGAACCTCGGGAGTTGCCGCCTCTAGCACCATGTTGACCGCTTCTCCAGGATTGACTTCTCCCATATTCCTTACCTGGTCTGTAGGATCTGCTATCACGAAACGGGTAATAGTCCCTTTTTGCACGAAAGGAACCTTTGGGCCTGTTGTCTTGAGGCAGAAAGGCCTTTTTACCTTCGGCTGCTCGTTTAATACAATCATCCAGATTCTTGCCGAATAACATGTCACCATGAAAAGGAAGGGAGCACAAGCTACCTTTGGAGGAGGCATCAGCAGACCATGATCTGAGCCATAGCGCTCTCCTGGCCAAAACTGAAAGAGCCATATTTCATGATCAACCGCAGCCTCAGGTGAGAAGTCAACAGCTAATTTCAAATCTTTCAGGCTGTCCAGTATGGAGGGACGGCTCATGCCGTTCTTAATATCCTCCTCCAAATTCTCCATCCAAACCTTAAGCGTCCTGGATACTGATATAAGGGCCACTCCTGGGTGCAGGCCAGTACCTGAAGCCACATATGCTTTGGAAAGACTGAAGTCCATCTTTCTGTCCATAGGATCTTTGAAGGAACCCGCATCATCAAAAGGCAAAGTGGTACGTTTGAAAACAAAGAAGTACACAGTGATAAAAAATGTGGTAGCTCTTTAAACACCTATAAAGTGGTACCCCTTACACCACTATAAAAACAAATGCAATACATACGAAGTAATAGGTGGAGCTGTGTAATGTCCTATATCTGTAAGACAGAATAAATGCAAATAGCGTAGAGAGTCTGCACAAATAATAATAGAAGTAAAAATAAAATCGTTGAACTCACAAGGTTGGAGTCATACCATCATATGACTCTAGCGGTATGTTCCTTTGGACCATTAGGGGGTTGTCCAGATCCTTCTATCGTTGGTTACTGGATACTCCTCTTTAGTGGTCCTTTTTGTGTCCCCCAAGGAATTCTCAGTATGTTGCTTATTCTTAAAATAGATATTTCTTTATTTCCAATATAAAATGTTAACAAAAATTAACAGTAAACAAAAATACTATACCAATAAATATTGGATATAGATAGAGCAGGTTAGAGTGTCCAAAATGCGTTTCTCCTGATATACAGGCTTCCTCAGTTGGCTCTGTGTTGTCCTAATAGAAAGGAAACAACACAGAGCCAACTGAGGAAGCCTGTATATCAGGCGAAACGCGTTTTGGACACTCTAACCTGCTCTATCTATATCCAATATTTATTGGTATAGTATTTTTGTTTACTGTTAATTTTTGTTAACATTTTATATTGGAAATAAAGAAATATCTATTTTAAGAATAAGCAACATACTGAGAATTCCTTGGGGGACACAAAAAGGACCACTAAAGAGGAGTATCCAGTAACCAACGATAGAAGGGTCTGGACAACCCCCTAATGGTCCAAAGGAACATACCGCTAGAGTCATATGATGGTATGACTCCAACCTTGTGAGTTCAACGATTTTATTTTTACTTCTATTATTATTTGTGCATACTCTCTACGCTATTTGCATTTATTCTGTCTTACAGATATAGGACATTACACAGCTCCACCTATTACTTCGTATTTATTGCAAAGTGGTACGTTTGGCCAATCTAACCACAGCCACCTCCACCTTGGGAGCGGAATCCCATGCTTCAGCGTCCTCAAAAGGATACATCTTCCTTTTGAAAAGGATTTTCTGTTCCGATCTAGACCATTCCTCCTTGATGAGGTCATTTATAGTCTCATGGACTGGAAAAGTCGCCCTCTTCCTCCTGAGGTCAGAGGTGGCAACTGGATGTGGAAGGCTCATCCTTAGAAGATTCCTTCAAACTAAGAGTCTTGCGGACTCTGGATATCAAATGGTCAATTTCAGCAGGTTCCAAGAAATCTGGAACTGGAAGCACCTCATACTGAGAAGAAGAACCCAGATCTCTCAGGGATTCCATAGTTATACACTCTACATCAGAGACGTCTGGAGAACACTCTGAAGGTTCCAAACACCTTGGTCGCTTGCGGGACTTCCCAGCTTCCTGAATGCCCAGAGCGACTGCTTGTGAAATATACTGCATTATGTCAGGCGCAGGTTGGATGGAGGGCTGCCTTTGAGATGGGCCTGCAGCCACAGATAGGCAAGAAAAACAGAGACATTTCCCCTCCAGGGCTCTGTTATCACAGGATTCACATTGTGTCCTTTTGGGCGACTTCCCTTTGGACGACACTGAAGCTCTAGTTCCCTTAGAACTGCCGAAATAGGTACAGAACAGTGTACCAGTGCTCCGCGCCCTTTTAAATACCAGATAAAACAAACCAGAAAAAAAATGGCTTACCTATAAGACTTAGGTTGTGACCTTTCGGGATGTGGGGAAGAATCAGAATCAGAGGAATTTGAGACTTCCGTACCCATCTGCAGAGCCAAATTCAAGAAAGAATCTCAAATTGAAATACAGAACAAATTGAAGGATACCACTTTAAAAAATTAAAGACATTTAACTTAATGAAAAGCAGACAAAACGTAAATCCAGCAGGAGATAGGAGGAAGCAATGCTGCATTCGCCAGGAGTATAAACCATGGGGCTGTTAAATAGGCGTCTGACGTCACACACAGAGCACCTGTGTGAAACAGATGAACGAGCCATTCATGTGAACAAACGAATGTTCACCAGAATTCATGCGAACAGCTAAAATACATGCGAATAGCATGTGTATTCGAAAAAACTAACGCCAAGTTGAAAATGAAATAAACCACAGGGACTTACCCCTTCAGAAGGACGTCAGAAGCAGGGAGAAGTCCAGACCAGCAAGGTACACGTCAAGGTCAATATTCACCTGCCCACTGCTACCCCTAGGGTCACTGCAGAATTAGGGAACCAGGCATAACAGCTTCCTACCCCTTGGGTTACAGCAAGTACCAGACCCCCGGTCACTAAAGGTGTACTCTCCAGGTGTACCTTTGCACAGGGCCGTGTAACTGGAGACTTCCCAAGAGAGAGAGAGGCTGAACTCCCAAGGGGCCAGGGGAACCAATCCCCAGGTAAGCCATAAAAGAAAAATAATAGTTCCAAGGAAAAATAACATGTCCTATAGGGATAGGACAGGAACAAAAAGACTGAGGGAAGAGGGGTTAGGAGGAGGTACTTATACATTTATTTTAATTAGTTCCTGTCTAATTAGGTATAGGGAGGAGCTACCCATTGTTGTGCTGCCATGGATATGGCCAGGAAATAAGTATATATATATATATATATATATATATACACACACATATATACAGTCAGGTCCATAAATATTGGAACATCGACACAATTCGAATCTTTTTGGCTCTATATACCACCACAATGGATTTGAAATGAAATGAACAATATGTGCTTTAACTGCAGACTTTCAGCTTCAATTTGAGGGTATTTACATCCAAATCAGGTGAACGGTGTAGGAATTACAAAAGTTTGTATATGTGCCTCCCACTTTTCAAGGGACCAAAAGTAATGGGACAATTGGCTGCTCAGCTGTTCCATGGCCAGGTTTGTGTCATTCCCTCATTATCCCATTTACAAGGAGCAGATAAAAGGTCCAGAGTTCATTTCAAGTGTGCTATTTGCATTTGGAATCTGTTGCTGTCAACTCTCAATATGAGATACAAAGAGCTGTCACTATCAGTGAAGCAAGCCATCATTAGGCTGAAAAAACAAAACAAACCCATCAGAAAGATAGCAAAAACATTAGGTGTGGCCAAATCAACTGTTTGGAACATCCTTAAAAAGAAAGAACACACCGGTGAGCTCAGCAAGACCCACACGTATCAAAAATAAAAAAAATTGCTGTTTAGACAAAAATGACAGATTCTCATGGTACAAATTAGATAAAATAGTAGCACTTCCAATTGGCATTTGTCATCTCTCTCACCTTTACCAAACCTACCCCTTCCGCTATAACGATAAGAGTATCCACTGTCAGAACGCATCTTCCAATTGAACTCCTCAAAACCTATGACCTCAACAACCTGCCACTATTACATCAAGCACACACTGACTTACAGAAATGGCACCCCATGTCCATCTCAAGGATAGGACGAATAGCCTCCTACCCCAGTTCCTCCACTTGTTCCAAGCCCTCCCTATTCTTATTTCTAAGCAGGATTTTAAAACGCTTCAGACTAAGGCAATTTTATCTAGGCAGGCAAGAAACCGAATTAAAAGATCAACAATGTAAACCACAAACAGAGCAGGAGGCCTAGGCTAGCCCAACTTCTACCAGTACTTTCAGGCCGCCAAATTGGCGCATAAGCGGGCATGAAATTGTGGGTAGATCTGGAACACAATATTCAGAAAGATTTCTTGTCCCTACTCCTCTGGCTTCCCAACAGAGATTGACCAGACACCCCTGCCCCCGCCCCCTCACTCACCAATCCCTGCTTTAACCACATCATTCCAAATCTGGGATAGAGCAACCTTAAGATATACTAGTATTTTTAACTAGTGAATGTCCCCTCTCCACTCACCCAGGTTTTTGGGGTGAAATAAACAATTCACCCCAGGCATGACACCCCAAAACTTTGCACACTTCGAAGACAACCAGCTACAGAGACTTCCCCACTTACTTTTCCAACAACTCCTATCATTTGCAGACCTACCATGAAAAATACCACTCAACACTTTTGACCATTTTTGATACCTACAACTACGCAGCTTCTTCAGTGACCCAAACACTGCGGCCATAGCCATGACCAATCTTACACACTTCAAAAAGGCATGTATACACGCTCCTATCCAAAAAGGACAAATTTCCACCATCTACTGCCCCTTGAACTCATCCTCCCCGGCAGATGCCCTCTTATAGGTCTGCCTTGGAAAGAGACATAGGTCCAGAGAAGACCCTTCAGATTGGATGGACATTTGGGAGGCCACAGCATCACTCACCATCTGCGTAAATCACAAAGAAATAAGACAATGGTACGTTGATACCTCACCCCCCACAGGCTGAGGCAGATGGGGAGCTAGGACTCATATGTCTTCTGGAAGAGATGTGGAATAAAGGGCACATATTTTCACTTATGGTTGGAATGCCCATTGATCTCCTAAGTATGGGTCAGCAGTTCTAATCTCACTTCCAGAATCCTCCAAGCAGACAAAGCAATGGACCCCTGGATATGGTTACTCTCAAAACCTCATGACACCCTTACCAGAGCACAGAACAAACTCTTGGCAAAAATTGCCCTTGATTGCAGAACAATGGGGTAACCATAATAAACCCTCCCTCGCAGTAGTAATCCAAAAAGCAGAAGACACTATGGCAATGGACAAATTGGGTGACACGCTCCATGATACGACAAAACACTTCTACAAAATCTGGGACCCCTGGCTCCTGGAACACCAGAGCCATACCCGAGGAGACAAAGGTGGGGGCATGCGGTCACCCACACAGATACATCCATCAAACCCTCTTCCTTCTGTCCCCCAACCCCGTCTCATCTTTTCCCCCTAAAACCAACAAATTCTTCTCAACCCCCTCCCCGTCCCAGATTTATTCCCCCCTCTTTCTCCTCCCCCCCATCCTCTTTCTGCATACACCCATTTCAATACTAAACAGGATACCCACATGGTGACATATTAAACAACCGTATCTCGAACCAGAGAGCAAACCTAGGAAACGTATGTTTACATCCCCTGTACTCGCTAGCCATCCAGAACCCGCCACTCCACTATATTATTATTCTGCAATAGGCTATAATGCACCACCCGAAATCAGTGTCGCTGCACAATGATATAACTTTAATTTTTCATGCAGCCCCAATAGAGCCTTCACTTTCCTCTGCAATATTCCGGCTAAAACATTTAGAATGTTTTAGTTTGAGTTTTTATTTTTTGTTCATACTTTTACATAGATATTACCTTCACGCACAAAACAGCTTAAAGATCCCAACTTACTTACAACAAGCCTTATCTAATCTTACCTTCATATACAACGTACTTATACTTAAAGGACCACTATAGTGCCAGGAAAACATACTCGTTTTCCTGGCACTATAGTGACCTGAGGGTGCCCCCGCCCTCAGGGTCCCCCTACCGCCCGGCTCTGGAAGGGGGTAAAAACTTAAATTTTTCCAGCGCTGGGCGGGGAGCTCTCCTCCTCCTGGGCTGAATGCGCACGCACGGAAAGAGCTGCGTGCGCATTCAGTAAGTCGCATAGGAAAGCATTTACAATGCTTTCCTATGGACGCTGGCGTGCTCTCACTCTGAAAATCACAGTGAGAATCACGCAAGCGCCTCTAGCGGCTGTCAATGAGACAGCCGCTAGAGGCTTTGGGGGAAGGCTTAACCCATTCATAAACATAGCAGTTTCTCTGAAACTGCTATGTTTATAAAAGAATGGGTTAACCCTAGCTGGACCTGGCACCCAGACCACTTCATTAAGCTGAAGTGGTCTGGGTGCCTAGAGTGGTCCTTTAAACCTTTTACCTGTTACAATAGCAAAGTTTGATGCTTATGTATTTTGGATCAAATTGCAATGTTTAGCCCTTCTATACATACACGTCAATGTATTAAATGTGCACCTATTTTACAACTTGTAACTCTTAAAATTGAAAATAAAGAATTATAAATAAAAAAAAAAAAGATATATAAAAATAAGTTTTGTCTTTAAAGGGTTTAACATGCATTTTCAGAGATATTAGCAGTAAAATGTTTAGGACTGTTTGCTTATTTGTACTGCTTTTGAATTTGTTACTTTAGAAGGTTGTAGGGCATATATAATTGTTAGGTATGTTTAGTGAGGAAACGTTACAAAAGTTTTTTTTGGTATCTTATCAAAAACCATAATTTCTATTCCATTGCAATATTAACTACACACGTTCTGTGTGTTATGTACAAAGTCAGTATTTTTAATAAATAAACAGTTATATTTTAATGTCTTCTGGTGATGTATGTACAATCAGAGAATACAGGAAATTCTCTGCTTCTTCTTTAGAATATATCTTCCTTCACACAGTGTGTCACACCCGCCTCCCTAATGTCATTGTTCAAGTATCAGAACAAGAGTTTTTCCTTTAAAAAAAAAAATAATTTATGATGGTTGTAGGTCACAAATCTAAGGTCTCTTCCTCAACAGTGCGCTTCTCTTGTTCCACATACTTCTCCTGAAATGCCAATGTTCTGTAGCAGTTATGTTAAGGAATTAATACATTTGTGGCATAAAAGGAAGTTATACAGATAGTGAGAGAATGATAAATAAGTACACAATGATAAGGGAAATTGGGAAAACTTCATTAGGATACGAAGTAAAGTGGAAGTCCGCTCCCACAGCTACAGACATGAGGTTCCCCATAGATCTTTGCTGGTCCCCATAACAAAAGCCGCTAGCTTTATCCACAGTAGATAGGACTTTCTGCAAGCTTTGCTCATCCTGAAAAAGAAAGAATATAAAAACCTCAATTACCTTTGCAAACATTAATTTCTACCTCTAAATTTAACTATGCTCTGCCTTCTTTAACAGTGTGCTTAATTAAGAATTATATTTGTTCAGATCCAAAATTGTCCGCCTCCATTCCAAACACCTAACCTTGATGCTGAGTGGTGTGAAGGTCACTAGTCCATAATCCTCAATGACCTCAGCCAGCTTTTCATGAAGTCGACGGTGGCGTCTAAAGAAGGGGTCAGACGTCAGATGATCCACCAGATAGGAAAGGTCCATAACATCGGTATAGTAGTCCAGGTTAAAGGCTGCAGAAGGAAGAGGACTGTTATCCCGTACAATGGCATTAATGTAATTATGTTTCTCCTCTGCCTTAAAGGAACACTATAGCGTTAGGAATATAAATCTGTATTCCTATGCTCTAGTGTCCATGTCTAGAGAGGTATTGGGTCCATCTCATACTGACAGCCACCAGAGGTGGACTTAGCCCTGAAATATAAACATTTCTCAAAAACTCCAATGTTTTACATTGCAGGGTTAAGAGGACAGGGACACTGCACCCAGATTACTTCACGGAGATGAAGTGATTTGGGTGATTATAGTGTTCATTTAAAGTTGGCAAAAAACAAACAAACCTTACACCTGCTATACATTTCAGCCCTTCAAATATATTTCATATTTTCTACCCTCATACACACTGGAGCAGAAGAGTCTTCTCAAACTAAACACAATCCAACTTTCCCAATATTCCCAGCCTTACCTAGTCTGCCATATTGTTCTATAAGGTCCATCTTGGATAGTACATTGATGTGTGGTAACTCTATATGCAGCATGGTGCTGAGTGATGTACACAGAACAGATATGAATTTAGCAGGATCTGTGCAGTAATGGGAGTCCACCAGGTGTACTGCGCACAACTATAGGGACACAAAAAAAGCAAACTGTGAAAAGTATATGCGACTTCACAGTGTAATTCTATACCCTGTTTGCTCGAAACTAAGAAAAAGAGAAATGCGTATGTGTCTCTTACATATTTCAAAATAGATTTTAATTTATTTTTTACTGGTTTGAAAACATAAATAAGCCTTTGGCAAAAAAACAGGTTGATAAAGCAAGACTGAATGCTGTTTGCGAATATACATATTATCCCTACCACTGTTTTTGTAGAAAACAGAGGTACGCTTATGAAAACAATGCTAATTGGACCATATTGCATTACATCTTATTTATTATAGTGAAAACTTCACTAAATACAGGTTTATACCACAATATCAGTTACTAGTCAGCACTTATGTTACTTTCAACTGCAAGTCTGGGGGGGGTGTAACACACATTTACCAAGTATAAATTTCTACACTCAAGGATTACATTTTCACTTGCCAAAGGAGAGAAGGGATACCTGGCAGAGAAACTCAGCCTGAGTATAGGAGCTCTGTCACAGCTTTCTCATAGGAAAGCATTGGATTGGCAGAAATTGTCAAATCTGATCTCAGCCAAGGAGGCAGGGTGGAACCAAACGCCGCCCTGGTCAATTAGCATCTCCACATAGAGATGCATTAGATCAATGCATCTCTATGGGGAAAGTTCAGTGTCCCAATGCATAGCGTGGAGACGCTGAATATCAGTGCTGCACAGTGTGCCGCACTGACCCAGAAAACACCTCCAGTGGCCGTCTGAAGAGTGGCCACTAGAGGTGTTCATAAGCTGTAATGTAAACACTGCCTTTTCTATGAAAAGGCAGTGTTTACATTAAAAATCCTGCAGGGACATATTATACTCACCAGAACAACTGCATTAAGTTTTAGTTGTTCTGTTGACTAGAGTGTCCCTTTAATTAAGCAGGTTTAATGTATAGATTGCTCACTGCTCATTGTTTTGCCACTTAGGAGTTAAGGAATTAATACTGTTTAACCCCTTAAGGACACAGCTTCAGAAGCTGGACATACCCTTAAGGACACAAGCAATTTTTGCATTTTTTGCTGTTTGTGTTCAACTGCAATTTGCATCTCTCTCATTTATTGTATCAACACATATTATGTACCGTTTTTTTAGACAACAAAAAGGGCTTTAATTTGATGTGACATATACATATAAAAATTCTCATTTATTACAAAAAATGCTAAATAATGTGGAAAAAAAAAACACAAAATGCTTTTGGCAATAATAATGTGTGCATAATATGTCCAGCTTAGGAAAAGTAATTCAAAATCAATTCATTTATGTGTCTTGATTTACAAAGTGCATAATATGTGTAGGATTTCAGTTTATTTTGAAAGTTACAGGTCACAAACTACAAGGTCTAAAATAAAATTTCAATGTGAAACAATTTTAGAAGTTGGTATGATCGTCTTGGAAGTTTAATACCCATTACAGGAAACAAAATTTCCACACAAAAGTATATATTTATATAAAGTAGACATCACAGGCTATTTACCTAAGGTTAGTTTTACACTTTTTGCGTAGCCATTTCACCGCCACCTCTGCTAAATATTGGAGTAAAATTTTATTTTTTCTCTATTTTGGCATAAACACATATAACAAGGTTTTTGTAATGTGTATTTCGTAAACCTAGTGCGTGCTATCCCTGTACAGAAGCCCATATTGTGTTCAGCTTCATCTGCTGAGTACAACGATATCCCCATTGTATACGTTTGCCCCTATTCTGTGAAGATACAATGCCATATAGGAGACAAAGCTATTTCAGTTTCTATAGTTGGAATTTTCATAGATGGTCATATGTTTGATTTTGTGGCATTATAGCCATTTGACTGTTCAAATAACCCCACAAAGGCCTTTCATTTGAGAAAGCAGGCACTCCAGGGTATGTTATTAGGCATGTATTATACCTTAACTTGCCACCATTTTTTCACCAATTTATTTCAACTTTTGTTAAAAAAAAAAAAATGTATTTACATACATGTTGCATTTCCACTGGGTATTTCTTACATTTGATAAGTGCCACTGTCATAAATTCCCCCTAAGTATGCTCAGTTACCTCTTCTGAGTAAAACAATAAGCCCAATGTATGACCTAGACACTATTTTGTGAACAGTGCTGTGAAAGAGACGTGACAAGTTCAGGTTTTTAAGTGTGAAATTTACATGGAGAGTTTTAATGGGTCCGAATTCTATTTTTAAATATGTTAGCAGGCTGCTTTTTCCAACTACCCCAAAAAGGCATACTATTTCGTAAAGAAGACGTCCAAGGGTATTTCAAAAGGAAAATTTTGAACCTTAGCGTTGGATAATTTTTCCATTAGCTTGTATCAAATGTAATGGTAATAAGCATTTTTTTCTGCCTTTTTGACACACACAGTGAGTTTGTACTGTATATTTTGCAAACCTTATGTGTGCTACGGCTTTATAATACTTTATTTGTTACTCAGCTATGTTGTCTGAGTACAGCAATACCCCAATATGTACCTTTGCCAGGTATATGCGGACATTAAAGGGGCACATTTGAGACACAGCCATTTAAGTTTTTTCAAACTTTACATTTTTACACTGTGTCCATACCCCACTTTGGAGTTTTTTTTGTAGGTTAATTATTCCAGCTACCCCATAAAGGCATACCATTTCTTAAAGAAGACACCCTAGGTTATTTCAAAAGACATGTTTTGAACCTTAGCGTGAAATAATTTTTCCGCTAGCTTATACCAAGTGTAGTGGTAATAAGCATTTTTTATGCCTTTTTTACATACTCAATGAGTTTGTAATATATATTTTGCAAACCTTATATGTGCTACAGCAGTATAATACATCATATGTTGCTCCGCTATGTCATCTGAGTACAGCAATACCCCCGTATGTACCTTTACCAGATATATGACAACGTTGAAGGGGCACATTTGAGACACAGCCATTTAAATTAGAATTTTTATGCTGGGTCCATGCCCCACTTTGGAATTTTTTAAATAGGTTGTGTTTTCCAATTACATCACAAAGGCATACCATTTCCTAAAGAAGACACCCCAGGGTGTTTCAAAAGGCATATGTGAAACCTTAGCGTGGTATAATTTTTTTCGCTAGCCTGTACCCAGTGTAGAGCATTTTCCCGCTTTAAAAAAAAAAATTTTCAAACTTTTTAAGTTTTTTTTAACTTTTCAAAAGTTTTATTTAGCTTTTAAACAACTTATTTTACGATTTTAAAACTTTGTTTAAACTTTTCAAAAGTTTTTTTTACTTACTTATTTTGTTTTTTTACAATTAACCCCTAACTAGCCTAACCGTAAATCCCCCAATTTCCCCACTAACTTCTACCCACCCTAGCTAAATAAATAAATATTTTAAAATTTTTTAATTAAATAAATTTAACCCCTGGGTTAGAAGAAAAAAAAAAAAAAAATCAGATCACAGTGAAATACTGTGATCTGTATTTTGATCACTGCAGGTAGTGATCAAAGGGCAGGGAAGGGGTTCAATTTTATTTGAAAGAGGTGAGTGGGGGTGGGATTTTATTGCTAACACTTTTTTTTTTTTTTTTAAACAGGGAGAGAGAGTTCACAGCTCACAAGGAGCTGCAGCACGTGTGATCGCTCTGACTTCCGGTGAAACTGCCCATGGTAGTGTGCCTCTGTGCCACACTACAGGAAGATTAACCCCACTATTGCGGCAATTAGGGGTTAATTTTCATTTTGGACGGAAATTTTCCGCCCAGCGTCCTTAAGGGGAGTGCTGCAATGACGGAAAATTTCCGTCCAGCGTCCTTAAGGGGTTAAACATCACTCAGCCCTAGCTACACCTCCCTGGCTGTGACTCAAAGAGCCTGCAAGAAAAAGAAAAAGTTTCATTTTCAATCAGATATTAAAGGACCACTATAGTGCCAGGAAAACATACTCGTTTTCCTGGCACTATAGTGCCCTGAGGGTGCCCCCACCCTCAGGGTCCCCCTCCTGCCCGGCTCTGGAAAGGGGAAAAGGGGTTAAAACTTTTTTCCAGCGCTGGGCGGAGAGCTCTCTGCCTCCTCCGATCCGCCCCGTCGGCTGAATGCGCACGCGCGGCAAGAGCTGCGCGCGCATTCAGCCGGTCACATAGGAAAGCATTCTCAATGCTTTCCTATGGACGCTGGCGTGCTCTCACTGTGAAAATCACAGTGAGAAGCACGCAAGCGCCTCTAGTGGCTGTCAATGAGACAGCCACTAGAGGGAATGGGGGAAGGCTTAACCCATTGATAAACATAACAGTTTCTCTGAAACAGCTATGCTTATAAAAAAAAAAAAATGGGTTAACCCTAGCTGGACCAGGCACCCAGACCACTTCATTAAGGTGAAGTGGTCTGGGTGCCTAGAGTGGTCCTTTAAAGGACCACTATGGTGCCAGGAAAGCAAACTCGTTTTCCTGGCACTATAGGGTCTTTAGGTCCCCCCCAACCCTCAGGGGCCCCCTCCCACCAGGCTGAAGGTGGAGGAAGGGGTTAATCACTTACCTTTCTCCAGCGCTGGGCGCTCTTCCGACGTCAGCACTGAATGTGCATGTGGGGCAAGAGCTGCGCGTGCATTTAATCAGTCCATAGGAAAGCATTTCTAAATGCTTTCCTATGGACAATGCTTTCTGAAACTGCTATGTTTACAGCTGCAGTGTTAACCCTAGATGGACCTGGCACCCAGACACCTTCATTGAGCTGGGTGGTCCTTTAACTTGCTTTAGAAGTTATCTCCTGCTCTGTAAATTGATCCTTAGTCCCAAATATAAGGGTCTTGCAAGGTCTAGAAGGCTATTAACAGAGCAGATGATAATAATTCCCCCCCCCACCCCCCTCGATTGTGATATGAAGCCCTTTAGCTGGATAGAGGAATAATGGAACCGGCTGGTCGCCCTGAGCAGCCACCACGGGGAAGCGAGCGAGGAAGCAGTAAAGCTCATCTCTGCTCCCTCGCGCAGTATAGCATTGCCGGGTGCTTGATTATGATGTAATTCCGGCTCTGGCATCCCTACAGGGAGCAGAGAGGAGCTGCATGTAGATTACTGCTCACTCGCACACAGGATAAGCGGGCAGCACCACTGGACCCCAGGGAGGCTGGGTGGATTCAAATGTCAGTGAGTGTGTATCTTTCTGTTTAGGTACCTGCTCCCCTACGATCATGATAGAGGTGTTTTTACTCACCTTCTGTCCCACGCCTTGCCAGCTTTGCTGTGGCTTGTCCTGCCTTTATGGCTGAGATTGTCAATCTTTAAGATCTCAGCTAAACCAATGCTTTCCTGTAGGAAAGCATTGGGAGAATATTGTGCGTGTTCTAAGGTATTATTTCTACAATGTCTTGTCATAAACTTTATTTCTAAGGCAATGCCTGAACTTTTAAGGGTCCATAGCTAGTGTGTTTTACTGATTTCTTAGTGCCAGTGGTCCTCAGGCGCCATCCCACTGTTAAGTCTCAAACCACATATTAAAAATGAAATGGTTTAACATTTACTTGGCTCCAACAGGCTATTGTGGTCCAGCCCGTTCTTAGTTAAAAAAGTTCCCGTCTTCCTATTTGGACACAATTCATTGACAAGCTCTCAATAATCTCCACTCAAAAATGTGTGGAATTTATGTAACTAATGCTGAAGAAGAAACCTTTATTATAGGGATATCTGAAAAGAGGGTGGATGATTCATGGAAGTCGGACTCCTATCTGGTTGTTGACAAGTGACCCCTAGCATCATAACCATTGCAGTGAGCTATAGTGTTTATGGTTTCTAGACTGACCCTTTTACCTAGGTAAAGTAACTGACTGTAAAAGTTCTATATTTTTGTTTTAATGGAGAGCTCAATTCGTTCTATATTTCGATTCTAAAAATATAATGTTGAAGTTAACTTCTTATTCAGAATTTGAAGTTGACTTCGTATTCATGAATGTCTCCCCAACCACCTAAATTTCACCATCCAAAAGGTCCTACATTTATTTTTCAATCAGAAAGCACCATTTCTATCATAGAGCAGCATTAAAGCCTTTCAGACATGCTAACACTGGCTAGCAGTCACAGTTTTCTCACCCGTAGGCCACATTCACCGAGCCGGCGCAGGATGCTTGGCAGAGCCGGATGGTGGGTGTAGAGCTCCACTTGGCCCGGGCAATCAAACAGTAAGTATGTTCCCTGCAGACTCTTTAATCTGGAGAGCAGCCAGTCCAGGTTACTCTGTAAATACTCCATGCAGTAAAGCAGGGCCCCATTGGGTCCCAGGTGCAACTCCGACATCACTTCTTCCAGTCCCAGCAGCTCCCGCAGACTGACAGCGGCCCCTGGTTCCTCCTCCCCGGCTGGGTCCAGGTTGATAATGGAGGCCTTCCTTCCCATTGCGGTGAGCACGGCCTGCATAGCTCGCACGTATGTAGTTTTTCCTGAACCAGGGGGTCCTATCACAGCCTGGCCGAAGCCGGCCAGTACACACTGCTCGCCCGTCACGGTTTCCATGCTGTAGATTACGAAAAAGCAACACAACTTCCGGTGCAGGTGTCCCAAAAAAGTATGCCCCCTAACTATAAACAGAAAAGGTTCCGAGTATATTATCTGGAGTGATTTTCAGAGCGCCCTCAAGTGGGAGGTAGAGCGAATTATTTATTAAGGGAGATTTGTGTAAAGTATTTAAATCCCAGGCACTGGTATATAGACAGACAACGTCAATACAGTTGCCAAGGAGATATACTTACATGATTCACTGAAAACGCACACACAATGTTATTTGCTAAAGTGAAACTTGTTGGGGATGCAAACTTCAGATTTGAAGAAACTCACCACTGCCCAAATAAAATAAATACAAATACCACAATGAAAACATCATGCATTTACTTATTTTTTTTACCACCATTGCGGGTACATCCAAAAAACAGCTTGCTAAAGTTACAGGTCTATTATCTGCTACCTTTGCAAGCCATTCCCTGCTTGGCCAATCCTTGGCTCTCCAATCACAGACTTCTCAATGCAGCTCGATGAGCAGTCTTTGCAAGAGGATTGGACAAAGCAGAAGTGAAAAGTGATTGTGTGCATAGTGTTATCCAAGGAGAGGGATCATTCATAAAAATTATAATAAAACAAAATCCTCCCAAAACACACAGCACATGGTGCCAGAAATTTTGTGAAATTAAAACTGCATTGTTGTGAAAGTATTTGAAACCGATTTAACTCCTTACACATAACATTCTCAAGTCAAAGTACATTGTGCACAATCTCACAGCATAACTATTTAATTCATGACAAAAGAGTGAAAACTGTAAGCCCCAATTATTTCACTACAAGCTTAATAAAATCCATGTACGTTTATTTTAAAATGACAAAAAATTATGGATTCACTTTTCAAGTCAAATAAATAGCTCTAAAAAGTCTGATTCACTTATATTAATATGGTTTTGAAATGTAATAAAAGTTCTGGTGCAGTGGCTGACATCTGTAATCAAAATCAATGTCCTTCAGTTGCAAACAATCTTGAATTTACAAATTATGCTCTGAACATGAAAGCTATGTTTTGCCACCATTATACACGGTGTTCCTATGATACTTCATTGCAGTAGTGGGCTGTCTTCTGAGTAGCATGTCTCCCATGTCTTGGGGCTGTGGTTCATCATAAACAGTTGAAATGAAGTGAGAGGGTCTTTTCTTTACTGAACAGAAGGTCTGTAATTTCTCCCCGTGGTAGCTGTTTAAAATAGGTTTAATGAATTAGCCATAAATCCAAAATAAAATCACCATATACTATTTAATTTATCTAAACTCACCCCAGGCCTCGCTTGCATTTTGGGTTCTGGCCATCGTTTTCCAAAGCATCAGGCATTCCAGCTCCCCTAGCTCCTAGTCCAGTCCCTTCAGTCCATCCATGGCGCTCCATCAATCTCCTTCCAATACCCTGTGAATAGAGAGAAGGCTTATTTATCACAGGAAGCATTACATTCTGCACTGCAAGGTCTATACAATAAATATCAAATTCGGTTTTGCAAATTCAGCTGTTTTAGTTTGGCTCAATTAACCACTGAAGGATGGCATAGCACGTCCCTGCCGTCCTATGTACTTATCCGCTCCCCGGCGATCGCGGTGGGGGGGAACTCCCTCCTGGGCCATGTGATTGAGAGGTCCTTGCGAGGACCTCTCGATCACATGGACGGCATAGCTGTCCACAGCAGTGCCAGCAGGGGGAGCACCTGTAATTACAGGTAGTCCCCCTGCAGCCTGAAATAAATAAAAATTTATATATATATTCTCTATCTCACAATAGTTTCTGGTACTCATCCCATAGCAAAAGCATTAATTCAGCAATGACCAGGTGCCTCTCCGTGCAAAATATACAAATGGAACAAATTGAGAGCACTCATTGGATTTAGTAAACAAAAAAATATATTAAATCAAACGCATATAAATCAACGTTTCGACCGTCTAGAGGTCTTTATCAAGATCTTGATAAAGACCGCTAGACGGTCGAAACGTTGATTTATATGCGTTTGATTTAATATATTTTTTTGTTTACTAAATCCAATGAGTGCTCTCAATTTGTTCCATTTGTATAATTTGTACTGACTGGGACAAGTTAGACACAGTTGTTCTGTAGACATTTTGCAGCACTAAAAACACCATCTTGTGCAATAGGTTTCACACGGGCTTTGGTGCACTCCCCCCAGGCATCCTAGAATGCCCCAACCTACAATCAGCACTAACAGACCCAACTTTTTTACAAGAACTACTCAATAAAGAAAATCAAGAATGGTTTTCTGATAGGGCCCTTCTCTACTCCACCGTTCACCTCTTGGAGAACAAACCCTAGAGGCATAGCTGCAGGTAGATTTAACAAAAAGAGACTCGTTATTGATTTCTCAGCCCCTGACTCTTCCACTAACCCTAGTTTAAGTTCAATAATACCATCAGAAGACTTCTCATTACATATGCAAAAAAATTGACAATGCCATACAAGCTATTATTAACTTTAGCAAGGCAGCCTGGTTAAGTAAAACAGACATCACAAATGCTTTTAAACTACTACCAATTCAATCAATCACTCTAGCATCTGCATGGCGTTAAGTGGGAGGATAAATACTATTTTTGTGACAAGACTGACTTTTGGTTCCAAAAGTAGACCAAAAATTTTTCCAATATATTCGCAGATAACTTGACCTGGCTCTACTTAACAAAAGTAAATGTCCAGTTGTGATCACCTATCTTGAGGATTTTCTCTCTATTAAACCACACTACTACATACCATACAGTTTACAACGCAAACTTTCCCTATTCAAGGAATTGGGTGTTCCTGTAGCCCAGACAAAACGAAAGGTCCCAGTACAGAAATAACTTTCCTGGGTATTATGCTAAATTCAGTATCCAGACAATTATTAACAAAGACCGCTCTCAATCCCTTACGATTATGAATTTAGGAAGGAAACTTACCTGGTTGGCAGCTAATTTTAGGTTCTACTTATATTGTATCCATGTTCCAGGCGTTTTGTATAAGCTGATGCTCTGTCACGTTCTAATTTCCAGGAGTTTTTCAGACTTCATCCTACAACGAACGTTCATCCCAAAGAACCTCCACAGTTCAAAGGCCTAATCATGCTTTAAATTATTAAAACACAGCAGAATACTCGCACAAGCTGGATTGTCAGTTAACACCGAAAAAGCTTATGCTAGAGCATACGGTTTAAAAAGTTTGTGTGTGACTTTAATGTAATAAATGTCCTTTCTGTGGAAACTATGGTTGCATACACAACTTTTTGCCACTTCTCTTTGAAACTAGCATATAATACTATTAAACTATACTTGACAAGCATACAACATTCCATGTTGGCACTTTACCCAAACAAAACACCAATCTTATCCACATATCCGGTCAAAAACCATACTGAAAGATATTCAAAGAATAAAAGTTCAAAAACCCCTGAAAAGACTTCCCATAGACAGTAATATCTTTAGAAAAATCTGAGAATTATTAGGCAAAAATCCTTTTGACAATACCACTAACCTGGTAATCAAGTCAGCAGCTTATCTGTCTTTTTTCAGGTTTTTAAGACCCAACAATTTTCAGTAGAAAAAACGTCCTACCTCAAGTCATGCCTTAAGCAAAAATACTTAAAAGTAAACGACCATTACATACCATCGATCCCCCATACTAAAACAAACCAGACAAGCACCACAGTAGAAATTAAATCTTAGCCTACCTTTTCCAAATGGTGTCCAGTTCAAGTGCTGGACAATTTAATTTAGAATCAGACCATTAAAGGACCACTATAGTGCCAGGAAAACATACTCCCGCCCGGCTCTGGAAAGGGGAAAAGGTTAAAAACTAACCTTTTTCCAGCGCTGGGCGGGGAGCTCTCTGCCTCCTCTCCTCCTCCTGGGCTGAATGCGCACGCGCGGCAAGAGCTGCGCGCGCATTCAGCCCGTCGCATAGGAAAGCATTTACAATGCTTTCCTATGGACGCTTGCGTGCTCTCACTGTGAAAATCACAGTGAGAAGCACGCAAGCGCCTCTAGTGGCTGTCAATGAGACAGCCACTAGAGGAATAGGGGGAAGGCTTAACCCATTGATAAACATAGCAGTTTCTTTGAAACTGCTATGTTTATTAAAAAATGGGTTAACCCTAGCTGGACCAGGCACCCAGACCACTTAATTAAGCTGAAGTGGTCTGGGTGCCTAGAGTGGTCCTTTAAAAACCCTGATAACCCACTGTTATCTCTTTACGGAAAACCACTTATCACCAAACAATTCATGCTACACATACACACACTATTACTCAGACTAAGCTTCAATCCAGCCTCATTCTCAGGTCATTCATTTCGAATTGGGGCATCCACAGCAGCGTCTGTCGATTATGTGCCGACACATATCATTAAGAATATGGGTCGCTGGAAATCCTCTGCATACAATAGGTACATTCCAAACCCAGAGAAGGAAATCAGCCTTGCTTTCTATAATATGTCTAAATAAATGTTACGTGTGAAATAAATGAAAATTCTTTCTTAATTTTTGCCCTCTTTATTGCAGGTCTAACCTCTCGTTGGTTTCGGCACACCTCAACTTTTGTTATTATCGAAATCACATTCATTTATTCATACATCCACTATTATCCCGCACACAAAATATATATATTTTAATAATAATTCTACGTATATTTATGTAATATTTTAAATAACTAGGTCATTTTATTAATTACAATTTGTGGGACCTGCCTGACAACCCAGGCCGAAAGTCCATGGAATTTAATTTGCTAGCACTATATTTAACCCTGTAACTTTCCAAGACACCATAAAACCTGTACATAGGGGGGGGGGGGGTACGGTTTTACTCGTAAGACTTCACTGAACACATATTAGCGTTTACCAGTAAAATGTATTACAAAGATGCATTTTTCACACACAAATGACACTTACACTGACAATTTAATTGTTGTGATACTTTTTACTGTTTTGAAACACTAATATTTGTGTTCAGCGAAGTCTCCTGAATATAACAGTACCCCTCATGTACAGGTTTTATGGTGTTTTCAAAAGTTACAGAGTCAAATAGAAGGCATGTGTTTCAGTTTTTTCACATTGAAATTCGCCAGATTGGTTACATTGCCTTTGAGACCCTATGGTAGCCCAGGAATAAAAATTACCCCCATTATGGGATACCATTTGCAAGAGTAGACAACCCAATGTATTGCAAATGGGGTATGTCCTGTCTTTTTTAGACGTCACAAACACTGGCCAAAAGGGGGCCATCAAGGGGGTAATTCTCATTCCTGGGCTACCATATGGTCTCAAAGGCAACGTAACCAATCTGGCGAATTTCAATGTGAAACAACTGAAAAGTGTAACATGCTATATTTGACCCTGTAACTTCCCAAAACACCATAAAACCTGTACATAGGGGGTACTGTTTTACACGTGAGACCTTGCGGAATACAAATATGTGTATTTTATTGCAGTAAAAGCAAACAGTATTATGACATTCACAGTTACAATGTCATATAAAACTTAAAGAAATAAAAAAAAATTCTTATTTTCTCCCCTTTTTTATATGTTATATTTCTTAGCTAACTATTTGATGTTAAATGAAAGCCCCGTTTCCCTGAATAAAATGATATATAATAAGTGTTGGTGAACTTAATATGAAAGAGGTGAATTACGGTTGGACAGACATATAATCAAATTCCAGGTTTTGTTTTGATCCCACTGTAGTCCACTGTATTCCATAACGACTGAATGCTAACGGAAATGAGCCAAATTCATCCCTGCTATTTCCAAAAACACTCTCATTGCTACAGTAATTTTTTTTTTTTTTTTTAAACTAAAACTCAAAAGGTTCAGCCAAATTGAAATCGAACAAAAGCAGACTTTCTTCCCAAAGCAATTAAACGAGATCAAGAAACACAAACATCTACACTGCAAAAGCTTTTCACAGCTAGACTAGGATTAAGAAGCGCTCTAAACTCCAAGACTACAAAGGAACACTCCAAGCACCATAACCACTATAGATGCCTTTCACTTATCAGCCTATCAAATAAACAATTTAGGTATTCTCTGGAATACCTGTAAATTACTGCCAACTAAGTCCTCAATTTAATAAGCTTTCCAAAATGATTCAATACTGTTAGAAAGAAATCCAAATGATTTATCTTCAAAACTTCCCATGTGATTTTAATGCGGATTTCTGTAGATAAATAACTTGGAAAGTTTTTCTAGCTGTATTTAATCATTTGGAAAGCTTATCAAATCGTAGGAGTTAACTGAGGTTTCACTTCTTGGTATATCAGAAAGATATAATATTAATGAAATACCCATGAGGACTTTGTTGGCAATCCTTTATAATCCAAAGATACTTTAAGACAAAATAGAGAATACTTTGTATTATAGCCTAGACTGAGGTTGGCAAATGTTGACAAAAGACAGAGTTCCGCCATCAACTCTGACCCATTCCTAGCAGCCATAACAAGTTACAACTATTGGATTTAGGCATTGTCTCAGTGTTATACTCTCACACATGAACAGCACTGATGCAAATTAAGAGTCAAGAGCCAAAGAGGACCTCCAGGAAGAAGATGGTGACCGCAAAGGACAGTTTCAGGTAAATAAACCTACCTTTCACTGCGCACTGCAGCCACAAAATACTAACCGGCGATCCCCAAAAGTAACAAATCTGCTATAAGGGTCTGGAGTGTCGGTCTGATATTTCAGGCTTTCATTTTTAACATACTTGCAATGGTGCCAGCAATCTGAGTTTTGCATTGTCATTAAAAAAATAAGTGTTTTTTTTTTTTTTTTAATAAAATTGAAACAATTGTAGCACAAGACAGCAACATAAATAAAAAATAAAAAATTGTTAAGGGATATGAATACTTTTTGAATGCACTGTAGATAGATATATAACCAGACAATATATTTTCCTAACCTTGGTGTGTTGTTCAAAACCTCCCACACCATGATAATCTGCATCGTCCAGGCCATTACGCCTCCTTGTCTCTAGACGCATTTTTAGGTAGTCTCTGGCATCCTTGTCCCCAGCTTCAGCATCATAATATCCACTCATATCTACATCCCAATCATCAGCTGTTTGCTCGTCGAAATCTTATAAAGAAAAACATGTTATAAGATGGATAAACACAAAAATACTATGAACAAGATGTTAACAAACATGCAATAAAAAGAAGTAAGTAGACACCAGAAGTTAATAGTCGAATGGCCTTAAAAGATCACATATAAGACCGACAGTTATGGACTTAATGAGCATGCTCCCTCCCCCCTGCCTGGTGCTCTCATTTGTACTTTTAACAAATTTAGTAAACAGTTGCCTTCATATTGTCGGCCTACCAAATAAACAATGTAGGTATGCTCTGGAATACCTGCTTAGAAAGTCCATTAATACTTGTTAATATAAATGTTTGCATGAGCTCCTATCCATAGCTGTAAAACCTTTGGAAAAATAAAACACCTCATCTGTGTAGATATGTCCCGTAACATATCAATTAGTGTATTTAATGTACAGAGCATGAGACGCAATCTGTCTTGCTTCCATCAAAAGTCTCAACTGCTCAGAACCAACAACACTAAATAACCCCTCATTTAACACCAGTTTTCTTTTTTGTGATTTGACTATTATTCCTACTCTTTTTAGATAAGTTAACCTCTACTGCTACTAAGATTTGCTATTATTACAGTACCTTGTACCACAAGTTATCCAACCACCACTAACTCCTTTAGTTCATATGATAAGAGTATGGACCCATCTAGTTCAATTCAAGCTCTGTGTTACTTTGCTAGATTGTATTCTCAGAGGCAGAATTCAACGAGCAAAGAAGTTATTAGGGTTGATCATGAAAGTAAATAAAGAGTTAAAGAAAAATATGACATGGGAAATGAGTACAGTACAGACTATCAAACAGATTACCTCCTTCCTCTTCTTGCCACAGCTGAGCATCTGTATAAAAGACCAGACCAGAGCCACCTTTCTCCCACTTCAGTTCAATCTTCTCCTCATACAACCGCTCTTTGCTACGCTCTTGTGTAGTAATATCCTCATGCAGAGCCTCATGCCTTTCCCATTCTTCACAAGTGTCATTGTCCTACAAACATAGGATACTATCCATGAAATTGTCATTGGAACTAGTATAGCTCAATGTTTTATCTTGCTCTATGACATTCTGCAATAAGACTTTTACTTAAAAGTGAATGCCTGCCGGTGTAATACAATGTTTTACAGTGGAAATAAAATTTGTAGTATTCACGGATACATTCTTAAAGGACCACTATAGGCACCCAGACTTATAGGCACCCAGACTTCAGCTTAATGAAGTGGTCTGGGTGCCAGGTCCAGCTAGGTTTAACCCTTTTTGCAGTAAACACAGTTTCAGAGAAACTGCTATGTTTACTTATGGGTTAATCCAGCCTCTAGTGGCTGTCTCATTGACAGCCACTAGAGGCGCTTCTGCGTTTCTCACTGTGATATTCACTGTGAGAAGACGCCAGCATCCATAGGAAAGCATTGATAATGCTTTCCTATGAGACTGGCTGAATGCGCGTGCGGCTCTTGCCGCACATGCGCATTCAGCCAATGACGGAAGAAGAGGGAGGAGAGTCCCAGCTCCGGAAAAAAGGTAAGGGATTAACCCCTTCCTTACCCCCTCAGCCTCACGGGAGTGAGACCCTGAGGGTGGGGGCACCCTCAGGGCACTCTAGTGTTCTTTTAATACAGTAATTTACTTTAGCATATACACAGACATTTTATTGTTCAGCATTGTGAAGCCATTTGAGAGGGTATGCAAGACCCCAGGACAAAGTTTATCTGCTTTACATGGCATGGCATGTGGAAATCCACGTGTGGTGAGTGTGCCATAGATCTCCCTCGCCTGTGAGGGTTCTTGGTACTGTTTAAATCCATCAACTTAATAACATTGATTGGCTAGACTGGTTGTATAGAGAGTCACACATATGAAAAATTATTTATTGGGCAAATTAATGGATTTTTGTCGCAATAATACTTTAAGAAATTCCAATGTGCTTGCACAACATTAAACATGGACTCAGATTTGCTCCCTATAATCAAGTTCAATATCTGGCTTACCTTGAAATTTTATGCACAATATCTTACATAAATTAACCCAAACTTACATCATCAGAACTTGAAGGTTCCTCTTGATCCACATCTGAGCTTTTCACACAATCTTCAAGACTGGCACCCTTGATAATCTCTTGGCCACTTGCGGTATAGACTGCCTTCTTGCCCTTTACTGTGTCTGTCCCAGAATACAAGAACGGGACCTTGGAATAACGACGCCCCTTGCTAGAAAATTTTAAGCCCAATCGTGCAATGAGCCTTGGCGGCATCCGACACGAGCGAATTAGCTGCAGGAAGAACTTAGTAGGGGTGCCAACATTACCTTGGGGCATGAGCATTGGCGGATTTAATTCAGACAGGCTTCTTATTTCTGCTGCAGTCACTTGTTGCTCTTCTTCAGGCCTATCACACAGCAGCTCTCGCCGTGTCTTGTATGGAAAATCTGGTGGAGCTGCAATAACAAGCCAATATGGAAGTTATGTGACAGACGATTGGTAAGAAATCAACTTGTTCATATCTAAGACATACCATTTTGGGCCCTTTGTTTTGCAAAAAGATGATCATTAAAAATAAAAATGAAATATATGTGTGTTTGATTTTTTTTGGTGTATGGTGGTGCTTTTTATTTTCATAAAAGCTTTCAATATACATAGAATGGGACATCCAGGGTATAATATACAAGTTCCTTAAAGGGAATAGCAACCTACTTTTCTACCCTACCCTACCTTTTGTGTCACTATACCACACTCCCTCTAGAATGCAAACTCATTGAGCAGGGCCCTCAATCCCTCTGTTTCTGTGCATTCAACTCATCTGGTTACAAATAGGTGTGTTAGTCCACCCATCGTACAGCGCTATGGAACTTGTCTTCATTTATAAATAATAATAGCGTTAGTAATACACATCTGTATTAATAACACTATAGAGCCCTCTGGGCCTCCCCAGAGGGCTCTTAAAGGACAACTATATGCACCCAGACCACTTCAGTTCAATGAAGTGGTCTGGGTGCCAGGTCCATCTAGGGTTAACCCTGCAGCTGTAAACATTGCAGTTTCAGTCTCATTAACAGCCGCTAGAGGCTTCCGCGGTTCTCACTGTGAAGACACTTGTGACCATAGGTAAGCATTGAGAAATGCTTTCCTATGGACGGATTGAATGCGCTCGCTGCTCTTGCCGCGCATGCATCAGAAGATGGAGGAGAGTCCCCAGCGCTGGAGAAAGGTGTCTCTTGCAGTCTTAGTCCTGCTGTCATTATTGTAGTTTCTTTAAAACATCAATGATTTACATTGCAGGAGTATGAGGGACAGGGACACTGCATCCAGATCACCTCAATGAGCTGAAGTGTTGGGTGCCTACAGTGTTCCTATTAAAACCCTCAATACATAGTGTGTGTGTGAACTCATTTGTCCCATCGTTCACATGGCGTCAGATACCAAATGGAGGTTAATAAAACAAACACACAGACACAGAGTGGATTAACACCCACACTAAGGCCTGGACTCGTACCTTTCTCTGGCGCCTCCTGAACCCCCCGGATCACACAGCGCCCAGGGAGCTGGCTCCCGCCTGCATCCAGCCATGGTTTCCCGTTGTACATTGTCACGAAGCTCCGTGCCCTCTCCGCTCGGACAGTCACCGGGCAGCAGCAGGTCCCCCCATTAGCTGCTCCCCGTCTTTCCGGCCGGTGGCGGAAGTGAAAACACACGAATCCCGCACTCTCCGCGAACTGACTGAAATAGTTGCGTAGTTGGGCCGAGCGAAACGTGTGCGGAATCCCACTAATCAAGAACAGAACCGAGCTATCCGGGCCGGCCATCATGCTACAGGAAGTGACCGCCGCCATCTTGGTAAAGAATACAACGTACTAGCTCGGCGCCATCTTAGTGGGGGACACGGGTAGCCTTCTTAATGGGAGGGGCGAACCCTTGTCACGCGGGCGCACTCCATCTTACCAAAGACTACAGTGCGGCCTTTCTGGAACGTTCGCCGATAAACGCGTGCGGGGTGTACCGAAGGCGAAGCTCACCGAGCGCAATAGCCGCTTGTCCGCTCTGCGATTGGCTGCTGCCTCGCGTTATGGAGTGTTGGTGATTGGGATAGGCCAGTAGGGGATTCTGTCAGTTGGCCGCTGTATCGGTCACTATAGCAACCCTGCCTCACGCTGATTGGCTGCCGGCGGTAGGAAGTGGAACTGAGGCTCCCGGTAGTAGAGCAGCGTGTGGCTGTGTGTGCAGAGCTATGGCTGGGGCGGCCGAGGATGAGCGCTTTGACGGGATGCTGTTGGCCATGGCCCAGCAACATGACGGGGGTGTACAGGAGGTGAGCGCCCCACTAACACTGCTGCTATACCCCGCCATGCAGGGTTTATAGAAAGTGAATCCTGCCTTCATTCATTCTGGGTGATGGAGCTTAAAATGGCTCTTCACCCAACTTCACAGTGGATGACCTGTCCCAAATTCAGTGGGGGAACTACAACCCCCCACCCCCCTCGTGGCACCCGTCTTACAACGCCCACCATGCTTTGCCAGCTGGGGATCTACCATCTGCCCATCCATGCAGGGTTTGCATAGAGTGTGTGTGTGTAGGGATGTGTTTGTATTGACATGTAGTGGTGTAGTGTTTGAATGCAGGGGTGTGTTTGTATGTAATATGTTTTAGATTGCAGGAATGTGGTTGCATGTTGTGTTGGTGTATGCTTGGATGTGTGAGCATACAATGCCACATACACTGTGTGTATATATGTCAGAGTGTGTATTTTTTTTTTATATTTGCAATTACCCTCCTTTTAGCATACCTTTTTGTGTTCAGGAGGGTGGCTTGCTTGGAACCTGCTTCTTCTTGATGCAACTAATAATGAGAGCTATGGAATGGATTGTACAAAACAAGACAAAGTAGGGACTACTTGTCTTATGGAGGTTTCCTACTCCTTACTATCTCTGACCAGCGGAGGAGAATAGTGTGCTTCATTTCCGGTGGTCAGAGCAATTTTCCCACATTTGTCCCCTTTCCTCGGTGTTCCCATGAAGCCTCCTTTCACTTTCCCAAAACATCCTATCATTTAGACAGAACGCCGGCAAAACTACCGAATTGCGTCCTAACAGAATGAGAACAGTTTTTCTCATTGGTCTTTCAGCCAAATTTACTAAATAAATATTACTTAGTATTAGTAAATTCTGTGGCTGCTCACTGGTTAAAAAAAAATAAAAATAAAAAAAGTATCCCCCACCCGTGCTGCACGAGTTGGGGCTATTAAACGGAAGGGGGGACCTAGCGTTGTCTGCCCCCACCCCTAAGTGGCGGGTAGGGACCCTATATCTCAGTGTGAGGGGACCTATTGTCCCCCCCAACCCTGAGCAGCGGGTGGGGGGACCTATTGTCTTCCGGCCCCACCCCTGAGTGGCGGGTGGGGCCCTAAATAACAATGAGGGGGGCCTATTGTCCTTCCACCCCTAAGCAGATGGTGGAGGCCCTATTTAACAATGAGAGGGGGGACCTACTGTCCTCCCCCTGGCCCCCACCCCAGAGCGGCGGGTCAGGGTCCTAAATTAGTATGGGGGGGGGACCTGAGAGGCGGTGCAGGCCTTAAATAACAATTCCAAAGAGCTTTCCCACACTCTAAAATGACAGAGCACTCTGGTTGGATTTCAATTTGAAATCCAACCAATCAGTGCCCCCATTTAGGGCCCCTACCCGCCACTCAGAGATGGGAGGGGAGGACAGTAGGTTCCCCCCTCCCCCTACATTCTGATTTAGGGCCCCCACATGCTGCTCAGGGGTGGGGGCCGGGAGGGGGACAGTAGGGACCACCTTCAGTTTAATAGCGCAGGAGGGAGGGATACTTTTTTTTTTTTTTTTTTTTAAACAGTGATCAGCCACAGGCTGCTCACTATTTACTAGACATGGCCATACTCGCGATATAGTAATATTTATTCAGTATTAGTAAATTTGTCTGAAAGACCAATTTAAGTCTTTCAGCCTTTTGGTAGTTAACTCCCTATTTACTAAGCGACTGCAAGATGCAGCCGTGGCACGAATAGGATCGGAATTTCATTAATTCGAAAAAATTCTGTTTTCTGTGATGCCTGTTAACCTTACAAGACAAACATACCAAATTCTAAAATCATTACTTGGCAATTCCACAGTGTTGAACGTACAATTTAGTTTTTTTTTTTATCCCCATGTAGCTGTTTAATTATCTCCTTATTTCTTTGAAAAGTTATGCTTTTCAAAGCATAACTGGAAAATATTTTGTTATAAGAATTTCCTCTTATTTTATTTAACTTCTTAAATTTGCAAAATAATCATGGCGTCAGATGTAAAACACAAAAGACTGATTAAGGTAAACGATAGTTTGAAGTCAAAACTCTGTAAAATATGGAATTTTAGAGCAGGAAAGTAATATTTTTTTTGTGCACCCTATCATTTTGTAATTTATTTAGAAGTATAATTCATTTAAAAAAAACATACAAAGTCCTGATCAGGACATTTTTGAAATCAATAAAATTATCACAGGAATTGGAAAAACACGTGGAGTGTACCCTATTTTTCTTTTTTTTTTTTTTGGCGTGTGTGTCAGACGTAGATTGTCTGAAGAGTATTGTTTTGGAACATAAAACTAGTATTAAAGATTAAATGTACTATGTATTTTTTTTTATTAAATACATGGATTTGAACTTACTAAATAACCTCAACATTCCAGTAGAAATACAGAAAATAAAACATAAAAAATATTCGATTACATCAGTTTTAATCTATGGGACTTTTAGACATATAATGATCCCTTGTAGCTCCACAGGGAATGGCAGCTTTAATTTTTGTGATAATTCCCTGTTTCTGATGGGTGCATTACTTTTTTCATCAGCTATGTTAGGCTTACCCAACTGTATCTCATCAGGACAGAGGATATATTTATACCTGACCACAACACCGTTTTTGAATTTTAGCCCATCAGTAGAATAAAAATTCTGATTGCTCCTTATTGTCAGGTGTTAGCAGTACATCACCATCTTTAGAGGAGGTGTAATCATCTAATTTTTACTTTCATTTTTGACCCTACACTCACCCAAATATATTTTCTGGTAAAAGTAGCAGATACATAATGAATGTTATGTGTGTTTGAGACAGAAGTTGTATATTCTAACTCAGGGGTCCTCAAACTCCGGCCCCCCAGATGTTGCTGAACTACAACTCCCATGATTCTCTGGCTATCTATGTAATTCAAAGAATCATGGGAGTTGTAGTTCAGCAACATCTGGGGGGGGGGGGCGGAGTTTGAGGACCCCTGTTCTAACTTTTCATAGACTTTTTTTTTTTTTATTGGCATTTTTACATGATTCCAGACACTTAACAATTCCTCAAATTCCATCCACAACAACCTTTCCATGGGCTGTTGCGAAAAAATGCCATGAAATTGTTCTGTCAAATTTCTTTGGTAATACATGCAGTACTGTAATGGCAGTGTGGTCCAAATTGGTTGGTTTCTGATTTATAGATTTTGTCACTGGCCACTCTCAGCCAATCAGCGATGCCACTACCCATTCTGCAAAAACTTTTTTTAGAAAACGGAAGGGCAGAGCAGAGAGATCTGCTCTGGAACACATACTTTTGGGTTAAACCATTCGATAATGGTTTAACCAGTTAAGGTGAGCCAGTGCCAGGGACCTCCTGGCACCAAATACAATTTACTTTTGATGAAGTTGTTATGGTGCCCAGAGTGTTTCTTTAGGGGTTAAATGCTTTTATTTTGTCGTTCTACATTTTGCATGTTCTCTTGCCTTATACACATTGCACAGATAATTTAATGCGTCATTATTTTACTCCCATTGCAGTTGGTGAATACATTCTTCAGTTTCCTGAGGCGGAAGACTGACTTTTTTGTGGGTGGCGAAAGTGGAGCAGCGGAGAAGGTACATGAGTGTTATTTTATTTTCCTCTTTGTTTTGGGGGTTAATATAAAACTTCAAACAAATAGGGTTTACCTGATGCCTGTATTCATTCCAGCTCATCCATGAAGCCTTTAACCACCATAACAAACTTTCTCGTGCCACTCAAGAAAAAATAGAGGCTGAGAAGAGGGAGGCACAAAAGCGGGAACATGTGGTAAAGCAAAAACCAATGGAACGGGATGAGCCCAGGATCACAGAGCTGACTGATGAAGAAGCAGAGAAACTTCAAAAAGAGATTGATAAGGTTGGTAGTTTAGTGAGTCTGAAACACTGTTTTCTTAAACAGTACATACTTCTATCCATATATTTTAAATTTTTCTTAGGTTAACCTTTGTTTAAGGGGCAGTCTAAGCACCATAACAATGTTATAGGTTTGTGATGTAGAGGCTACCTGCGCCAACTCTCCGTTCTTAAAGTAGCTTACAGTGAAAAACTGTAAACATCACTACCACTGTTAGCCAGCTTTGCAAAGCAGTCTGTCTGGCAGAACTTGCAGTTCTGGTCTTTCTGCATTCATTTTAATGATATTGTGAGTGCACGCACAACTTAGCCAAAGCTCCTTGGAGAGCAAGCCATGGACCTTGCATGCACAGCCCCCCAGCTCTCTCAATCAATTCAGTGAGCCATGCTGTGAATAAGCTAACCACTGCAACATTATGGCTGGCAACTTGGAGCAGAGGAGTTCCACTCATGTTGTGTGATGAGTGGAACAGCTTGTGTGAAAAAAGAGCAGACCCTAGAAACCAGAATGAAATGTTACGGAGTGTTGTGCTTCTTCCTGGTGAGAGAGTAATTTTGATGTTTCTATTGCTACTACAGGCAAAGAGATTTTTATTTTTTTAATGCATTTAATTACACAGTGCATAAAAAAATAGTGGGTCAGTTACCTCGTTCGGGGAAACCTGTACAGGCAACCCTCTAATCGGCGCAACCCTCAGAATATGGTGCGGAGTGCGCTACTCCAAGCAGCTCACCACATCCCCCAACCCGCTCACACCTATCATGCACAATCCAAAACTATCAGGCGGGCTGCACCCCGCCACTCTAAAACTTGCACCAGTGGAGCACTGGAACCGGCCTCAAACCACTGGCTGACCTGATGCCAGACCAGAGACCGACGGCTCTGGATGAATTTCACTACAACCAGATTAGGACCTACTACGCCGCCATGAAGAACAAAGATCACCTGTACCGGCCCCTACTGTTCCTCGAGCACCTATGCACGTCCAGGCAACAACTCGCCCATGGGATCTCAAACCTGCACTCTGCCCTTTTTAACAAATGGAAATAAGGACTCACTGGGATTCACGGAGAAATGGGAGCATGAGACAGGGGTTGAACTCACGGACCTAGAGTGGAACAAAATGTTCATGCTGAAACATAAATGTTCTATCAGTTCGAAATATCAGCAAAGCAGCTACAAAATATTGACTTACTGGTACAAGACACCGGATGTACTCTGGCACGTGCACGACTCCATACCCGGTGAATGTTAGCGATGCGGAACAGAAGGCCTACACATCTGGTGGACATGCCCTGTTATCGCCCCATACTGGCAGATGATAAATCATAAGCTCCAAGAAGACACAGACTTGCCAGACGAGACTGCAGTTAAAATACTTCCCTTGGAAGAGCCGAGATTCGGCGAAGTTAGTGGGTGGTGGAGTTTGACAGGGAACGAGACTGCAGTTAAAATACTGTTTACTCCAGTTTACCACTCAGCTTAGATGATTTTACGATGTACTGCTAGGCAGCCGGTTGATAGTTCGGCTGCCGTTCTTATCACTGAGAGGATTAGATATTTTGCCAATAAGGTGGCTTAGAGAGTTGGGAGGATTATATGTTTGGAACCACTGAGATTACCATTAACAGGGTCCTCTTATTCTTACCCTCTATATACCCCGTAGCCACGGATGCTGCCACCAGACAAGGGCAATTAAGGCTATCCATATTTGCTTTTTTTACCTCTCAGCCTTAAATATTATTTTACATACACTTTATAATTTTAACCTATGAAAAGTTATATTTTAATTTTATATGTACAACCTAGGGTTGCTGCTAATGTACCAGTACTGGTTGGGGAGGCTTGTATGAAACCTCTTTTCTTCTTTCTCCCCCCTTTTCTTGGCTTTATTTATTAATAGGGTTTACCCCAATTCTTATACAGCAACCTGACACGCTCTCTCTACTCCTTCTCCACTTTATTCCCTTATCCCTGCACATTGGAAACGTACAGTTGCACCCACCTTCCAGCAATGGGTAGGCAGGGTGGAGGACATACATAACATGGAAATGATGACTGCCTCCCTGCAGGGACGCTCTGACAGATGCACTCTTACCTGGTACCCGTGGACGGAATTTGTATCAAGACACAGACACAACAATCCTCCTCTCACGCAACTGGACCGACCGCCGGACCGTACACTCAAATGGGCAAGGGGACGTACCGTTACGGGGCAACCTACACAGACACCATACAGCTAGCAGGTTACACAACCGATGCAGGCTTGACTGCTACACAGACCTCCGTACATCCGTTGCCCACAACGGGGGACCCTTACAACCCCCACACAGACCCTAAGCTGAGGGTTCGCGCATACACACGAACCTCGGGGTCCTGTCAAGCCCAAGATCAGCTCTAACAGGACGAGGTGCAGGACCACCCAAATGCCAACCCCAAAAGGGGAAACTGGAGGTTAGGCAGCCCTCAAAGGCTGGCTCCATCCCACAAGGGCTACGGTTAAAACAGTTGCATAGTAATAAGGGAACTCCAATAAGAGACAGGGAAACAACCCGAAAGGTGCCCTATAGAGGGCTGGAAAGAACACGCAGACACGAACTTGCCTACACCCCAGGTGCATACTACCAAGGTGGCCCGTACAATCTAACCCTATCACTACTGTAATGGATCACCTGGCACTCCGTCTGGGCACCTCTGTTGAAGGATACTCCTAGCGTTTCCTGGGCGCCAAGCACTCTAGCAGACACCACAACCACCGAACCGTAGAAGCATATGAATGATCTCAAGCATATGAATGCTGTAAACAGCTGAACAGGAAAAGCATACAATCAGCTTACACTCCTGGCAATCGGCATACAATCCAATTTCCCCAATAACGAGACGACTCTTCGTTTTGAGGTCACGCAGAACTGACTGTACTGGCACATACAGCCTCTTTTATTCCCAATCCACAAACTTAGTACTGCACACAGGGTTTTACAGAACAACCAATAACACACGTACATTACAGAAAACACTCCCAGCAATTGTACACAAAATCCTCCCGCTTGCCTGTGATCTAATTATGGGACACAATGGGTTAACATAATTATCTCAAGCAGGAAAAATACAGTCTCATAAAACACATCACAGGGACCCCAAAACATGCAATAACCCCGGAACTGGGTGAACCACATATCCAAAATTCACCCAGATCCGTTCAGTAGTTTGGAAGATACAGTTTAATGCAGATTCCGCAGAACATATACAGGCTATATGAAAAACAATTACTGTATAATGTGTCCCCTGTTATATAGTCTAAAACCACTGCACGTTGTCTCTGTGCACCGGCGAGATGGCACCGTGTTGAAAAGTCCACACAGTGTCTTTGAGTTAAAATGGCCGCCATGTGCTTCATCCATTGTTCTCACCATGTGCCTCTGATATATGAAATGGTGGCCACCCAGTAACTCCACTGTATGTCCCCAGATGGTTCTTAAAGGGCCAGCATCAGCACAACGCAAATCCATTATGCCCAAATCATGTCTTTAAAGGGCAATACATCCCAGGGGCCATAGTCACATGGCAGGAGGCTGGCAATCAGTCTTCTCCAATGCCCAGTGGCGAGGTCGGTTTCGCCACAACTACCACCACAGGGGGCACACCATGCACCTAAGGAAGATTACGGCCACTCACCTGATAGATCCAATAAGGAGTAGGTTCTTTGACCGCCAACTCACACCTTACAACAGGTTAAATACATTATACACGATGCCAGCCAAGAGACAACCGGAACATTCGGAGATAAAATTGCCACAGTTTCCTCCGATTTAACACTAGAAAACAAACCACAGCACAAACAGGAAGCCTGGCGCAACCTAAACACCAATATACGCTAGAAAGTCGCAGAACTGCTCTGCACTATTAGCCAAACCTAGGTTAACTGCTACATATCAGTTAAACACCGAACTGAACGGCCATACACGTCCACAAGGCACTCGAGCAGTGTTATTGCTTATCAGAAGATACTCTACTAACATATAATGCTGTCACTGTTTAGATGTTATAAACTGGACTAACTCCTGGGATACAAAATGTCGTAAGTACCAAATCTGTTATGCACCCTGACCCCTCTCATTTTTACTTTTTGTACCCAATTGCGCACTGTTTAAAACAAAAAAGAAAAACCACAATAAAAATTGATTGTCAAAAAAAAATAAAATAGGTCAGTTTATAAAGTTAACATCCCTTAAAAGGTCCATAATGTAAGCACTTATTCACAGACCGGTCTGTTTAATTCATAGAACAAAGCTGAACGGAAAAATGAGACTGACCAGAGTCCAAACAAAATACAGCAGTTGGAATCTCAAAAGGTACGGTGACCTAAATAGCACGAGTGAAGGAAAGTTGGTAGAGTCACATAATATGAGTTAAGGAGATTATTTATTTTCACAGGATGAAGATGAGGATGTAGAAGATGAGAAGGATAAAGGGAAGCTCAAACCAAATTCAGGGAATGGAGCAGACCTTCCCTATTACCGGTGGACACAGACTCTGTCAGAAGTAGATGTAAGTACATCTTGAGATACACAGCCGAACATCATTCTAGTGTTCTGAAATGAAATCTGCAAAAAAAAAAATGTAGTAAAGTAGGGTGCTAAAAACAAATTACCAACTAAAAACATGTAAAAGCTGCACAATGTGTGTAAAGCACAAAACGTATTCATACAAAACCCAACAATAAAGTGCGCTGTGTCTTTAAGACTATAATATGTACCATAAATTTCAAAGTGCAATAAAATATATATATATATTGAAAAAGTGCAACACAAAGTATAATACACACAAGTACACAAAATAAAAAGCACTATGCAAGAAAATACAATAGTATTGTGCAATGTGCCAAAATATATGCAAGAAAACAAATAAGCACTCTACTTACATAAATGTTATTCACATGTGCTAAGCTAAATAAGCTAGTATGTCTAAAACTGCCAGTTGTGCAAATAGAGTATCTTATAAAAGAGACAAACCAGTATTGCTAAAAATAGTAATGAAATAGAAATATCAGGAAAAGCACTCACAAGGGTAGAGCAGAGAAGTCTGCTCTAACTTAGATTGTTCCAGTGTATTTGCAGACTAGAGGCTTTGATAAAATCCAAATACTTAATTGATACAATAAAAAAATGCAGGCAGGTGGGTAAACCCTCTGACCCACTCTGGTCCCTTTGGTTCGTTCTGTCACACGCCGGCTTTACCTGACTCCAGGAACCGGGAGCCGCTTCTGTGCTTCCAAATTTCTGTGTGCGTAATGGCGTCAGGGCGTGATCATGTGTCTCGCCAATGTCATGTTTCATCAGATCAACCATCTCTCAGTCCACATGCTCTGTTTAAATCCAAAAGGCGGGCGTGAATTGCCCAAAAAGTCTGAAAGTTGTGCAATATGGTTAGCTATAATACAAGACCTCATTTACATGACGAAGTAAAATCGGCAGTCCCAATTCTGGCAGAATGAAAATACACAATAGAGGAATATCACCTAAAAAAAATGCTCCACACAGTGGTGGAACTAATGCAGAGAGTGCCCTGGTTCAAGAAATTATTTTGGTCCCCACAGCACAAGGGTGGCCAAAAGATAGATTCCCATCTGTTATTCATATCCCATGATGCATTGCCAGCTGGGGATCTACCATTTGATAACCCTTGCAGGGATTTACTTGTGAGCAATTTTTATGGGTTTGAAGGTATTTATTATTAATATTTATTATTTGCATTTATAAAGCGCCAAGATATTCCACAGCGATGCATGCATGTTTATTTATGGAGTCTGTGTGTGAAATGAAGGGGTCTATTTGTGTATAGTTTTGGCATTTGAATGCAGTTGTGTGTTAATATGTACTGTTGCTGCTTACAAGCAGTGGTGTACATGTATTGCGTTTCAATGCAGGGGTGTGTTTGCATGTAGTTTTGGTGTTGGTAAATAATGCTGGTGTTTTAATACAGGAGCGTGTGTGTTTGTAGTGTTTGCATTTGATAGGAGTGTGTAAGCAAAAATGTTAAAATATAAAGAATATTAAGTGACAGTATAGTAAAACAGAAATATTACAAATGCTCCACATAGATGTTCATACAAAAACAAAATAACAAATTTAAAATAAAACCTGATAATTACCAACTCCTACTTACATAAACCTAATACTGGGAGGGAATGAAAAGAAAATTAAAACATAGAAACAGTTTTCTATGTACTAATTCTTATTTCTTTCCAATTGGTAGATATTTTATATACAATTTATTGCATATATTTACAACAGTTGTTTTTATAGTAATATTTAAGTAGGATTTGGTAATTCTTTTTTTATTGTATGGACATCTATGTGGTGCTTTAACATTTGTTTACTATACTATCACTTTTTATTCTTTATATTGTAAAATTTTTGCTTTTGTATGAATGTTTGTGGAGCATTTGTAATATTTTAGGTGATATTCCTCTATTGTGTAGATTAATTATGCAAAAATTGGTTACTGACGATTTTACTTCCTCATGTAAATGAGGTTTTCTATTGTCTCCAACCATATTGCAGGACTTATGGCAATTCACGCCCACCTTTTGGATTTAAATAGAGACTGTGGCCTCAGAGAGGGCTGATCTGATTAAGCCAATGACATCTGTGAAATATGTCATCACTCTCTGACAACATTACGCACACCGGTCACAATCCCTGCCTCCGGGTCAGAGGGTTTAGGTGCCGGTCTGAATTTTATCATTGTATGAATAAAATATTTGGATTTTATCACATTCTCTAGCCTGCTAATACACTGAAACAATCTAAGTTCGAGCAGACTTCACTGCTCTACTCTTGTGAGTGCTTTTTCTGATTTTCTATTTCATTATTAGTAGTAGTAGTAATACTGCCCTATTTGTTTCTTTCGGTTTCTCTCTTTTATGAGATACTAGATTTGGACAACTGGCAATTTTGCATATACTGACTTTTTAGCCTAGCACATGTGAATAGCATTTAGGTAAGTAGAGTGCTTCTTTGTTGTTTTGCACATATTGTCGCACCACTTTACATTACAAAGTACTAGTTTATTTTTTGGCACAGTGCACTTTATTTGAATTTTGTAGAGTTGTGTGTACTACACTATTTTAAAACATATGCAATATTGTATATTATATTGCATTTGGAAGTTTAGACTATATATTAGTCACACTTTATTGTTGGTTTCTGAAATGAAATCTGGCTTATTAAGCTTTATTCTGTATTTAATGCAAATTAGCACTTCACTTTAAAGTGGCACTGTCATTTTTACTGAAATTCCAAACCATAAACTTGACAAACCTGTTATTTCCCAAAGCATTCACTAGTGGTTGCTGTCAGGAAATTAAGCTCTTTCTTTCGTAGACTTTAATGCTGTACTCTAGTGCATGAGCAAGAGACAGTGCTGATGTGGGCTCCTTATGCAAATGGTTACTGGTTTACCACAAATTTTCTCTTAACTATTTAAAATTCACAAAACACTTGTAATCTCTGTTAGAGCACATTTATATAACATGAGATTTAATATTTACAAAATACGTTTTATGGTTACATAAATGACTTTACAGATGATTAATAAAATGTCCTTTTTCAGAGTGACTTTATGCACCCACTTTGCTTTTAAATTTCCCCATATCAGTTAGCTGTACCATTTCCAGTTTCCTTCCGCCTGAAAGGAAAGGATGTGATTGTTGAGATAAAGCGGCGTAGAATGACTGTTGGTCTTAAGGGACAAACTCCAATTTTGGATGGTGAGCTCTTCAATGAAGTCAAAGTTGAAGACTGTTCCTGGTTAATAGAGGATGGAAAAGTGGTGACTGTCCATCTAGAAAAGGTAAGAGGGCAGCTAGTTATGAAAATGTTTTTTAAAATGGGAAGGGGTTGACCACACCACTTCTATCACTATCCTGCACATTCCAAAGTAGATAATGGACACACTGCCCTGCATACTTGTGTTTCTGAATATCAAACATGTCTCTTGCAGATCAACACTATGGAATGGTGGAGTCGCATTGTCCAGACAGATCCAGAAATTAACACCAAAAAAATTAATCCAGAGAACTCTAAGGTATATGGAGTAAGACTTCACTTAGTGAAGCTTTGTGGGTTTTTGTTTTTTCTTTCTAATTTTGTGCTGGTTAAACGTGAAACGTAAAACGGTCTTGTCTCCCAATTTCCCTAGCTCTCTGATCTAGATGGGGAAACCCGCAGTATGGTAGAAAAAATGATGTACGATCAAAGGCAGAAATCAATGGGACTGCCAACTTCAGAGGAGCAAAAAAAACAAGATATCTTAAAAAAGTGAGTAACGGAGAGCAGCTTGACATAGCTCTGAATAAAAGGAAATGCCATATTAATAGCCGTATATTGCTGTTATTCAGGTCTAAAAAGAATTAAAAAAAGACGTAGGCACCATAACTGCTTTTTTTTTTTTTTTTTTTAAAGTGTTTATAGTATCTGGAATCATCTGTCACTGTCCTTCCCTTCAGCATTAAACTGTAAATGTTACTGCTAAAGGAGAGTCCCCAGCAATCCATCTTCTCTGTGCTGTTTTGGCCAACAAGGAAGTATTAGTCTGAGTGCCATTGCAAGTATGAATCATTATTGCTCCAAAGAGGTGTGTAATCACTGTTTTTGTCTTAATCAATAAGAGTAAAGAAAGGTAATTATTAACCTCCTGGAGTGGGGGGTAACCCCTAGTGAGACTAGTCACTATGGAATAAGAGAGGGGGGGGAAATGCCAGGAGAGAGTGAAAAATAAGAACTATCGCTGGTGGAGTGGCAAATATCAACCAATTAAACTTAACTTTTAATATAGCGATTAAGAGGTGAAATAAACCACCACGACAAAAGAAAAGAAACTTCAAACAGAAATAATGTACATATTTACAAAACAACTATCCTGAGTGTAGCTATGTCTGTATATAAAAAAATCTGGTAGTTCTACCCAAATATAGGGTTAATGAATACAGAGTAAGATAGTACAAGCTGTAGCTTTGTGAGTTCAGGATAATTTATTTCTTGCTCTTTCCTGGCTTTTTTTTTTTCCTCACTACCTTAATCATACCTGTACTGATGACTGGGCTCTTGCAAGCCAGGGACCATCGTTCAGAGTTAAACTGCTTGAAAAGGGTTTAACATTGAATGGAGGCACAGTGCTAGGGGACTCCAGTCACTATTACTAATTAATTGTGATGAAATGGTTATAGTGCACCCTTTCAATAAGGAGTTCAGTGGTGATGTTTTGTTTTTTCCTTTTGACAGGTTTATGGAACAACATCCAGAAATGGATTTCTCCAAAGCAAAATTCAGTTGAACCTGTTCTCTACAGCCAGTCACTTTACCAAAGAACAGATAAGAAATATTTGGCCTGTCCATGTAACTGTTCTGATTTACATTAAAATACAAAGTTGCCTACAGTTATGCAGTCTGTACTAAATGTATGCCTGATAATACATTTAAAGAAGCTGGCACTTGATGGGGGCGATGGGTAAAATAAAGATGCCTGGCTAATTTCCTTGTTTGACCTATTTAACCAATTCCTGATAATAACTTTTTCCAAAGTATGCAGACAGTGGCTCATATTCCTTATTATATAGTTGGGTTGAGCATACAAAAGATAAAGATGCAGCAGAAAACTTTCCTTCCTCAATCTCCCAAAAAAAAAAAAAACTTAAACTTTGGATATTTTTATAACAAAGTGTCTTTAAAATGAGAGAGAAGAATATCCAAGACTGGTATTTAAATAAACCACCATTTTACCAGCTCCCGACCAAAAAAAAAAAAAAAAACCTTCCACACAATCAGAAGCTCAAAAAAAGTGAAGGTAGCTAGCAGGTTTAGAGCAAAAGGTAAGCCTGCATTATTAAAAGGATCACACAGTCATTGCCTGCCAAGGTGCACTAAAATGACAGCAGCATCCTGGTATCGAGCAAGTTGCATCCAACTCAACTGTAGATTTATTTTTTCCTCCTTTGCAAATGATCAACAGGAAACTTTCAGCAATGGTGTCCCTGAGGAATCTGTCTCGGTGTCCTGCAATGAATCATCCTTCAGGAAAGAAGAACCTGTACAAATAAGAGATCAATAAATATATAATGTTCAAACTCATGTATCCTGTGCGTTAGAAAAGTAAAACTCTCAAAACTACCTCCCCTCTATCTAAACCAGGAATTTCGAACAAAATTTTGTATTCAGCATGTTAAATATCGGATTGCATATTCGAGATTCGTGTTTTACTCTTACCCATGTCTACCTGTTATTTTAAATTAGATTTTCAGGGTGGTTAAAATGAGGAAAAATTTTAATACATGTATTTTGCTTGTAAAAGACCATTTGGAACAACGGCATTAAGAAGTAAAATGTTAAAAAAAATTAAAAATTGATAAAGGAATTGAATATCCTTTAAGCCATTAAACAATTGCCTGCAGTAAATATTTAATGGCTGGTAATCTTGTAGAGCACCCGTTGATCAATATAAAAGGTTTACATGAAACACACACTAATGATGAACACTTGAGTGCCAGAGTTTCTGCACACATCAAATAACTGAACTAAAAATGCACACAGTTAGCCAAACCTTATAAGTTAGATGTTTGATGGACACTCCAAGAACTAAAATTACAGTATTTTATTGTAGTTATGGTGCTAGGAACCTGTCCATAAGAAATTTGTTACTTTTTATTCAGCAGTACAATTTTTTTCCCAGGGACATATGGAGAAGTCTAGCTTACTGATAAAGCTATTAAAATCAGTTTCCTTTAATTTGCAGGAGCACTGCTGTGCACAGCTCATGTAAGTAAAGGAGATTGTACTTTGCAAGGAAGATCAGCCTACCAATGCATTTCAGATCAAACACTTGTATAGTTCAATGAGTAAGCTGGAATTTGATGGAATAAATGTCAGACATGCCTGCTGCTGTAATTCCTCTGTATGAATCTGCAGCTGCACAATAGATAAGAGTAACACAACATGCTGCTTCCAGATTAAAGGGGCACTGTATCTGCTTATTTAACTGGTTATAGTGTCTGGAGTCATTTCATTCATCATTAAACAGTTTTTAAAGCTTTTAATGCTAAACAAAAGCGCCCAGCAGCTCATTTCATCTGTGTTGCAGATGAAGTATTGGCCTGAGCAACAATAAGCAGCTGTGATTGGCTGGGAGTGTCAGCTGACTGTTTTTAGTCTATCAGAGCTTTAACTGACAGTATGAAGTGTATGACAAGGAAGTGTGCAATCTCTGCCGTAGGCACACTTCCAGAAGGATACGGACTCTGGGTAGCCAGGGATTGTTATTCAGGGTTAAACTGCTCTTAAACGGATTCACATTCAATTGAGGGACAGTATAAGAACTATAACCAATTCAAAGCAATGAAATTGTTCTAGTCACTACAGTGTTCCTGTAAAAAAAAAAAAATAAAAAAAACCCCCAAAAAAACACACAACTTCATTTAAAAGTAGCTTCAGTTATTCTTTTACTGGGTATGCAAGAGACTATTAAGTAAAGTTAATTTAGGATGAGATGTATTTAAATCATGCTGAATAAAAACAAAAAAAATATATATATTTCAGTACTTCCTTTACACTATCTGCATGATCCAGTCTGTGAAGCCTACCCCAATAGGTGAAAAAAAAGTTTGTGTGTGTGTATATATATATATATATATACACACACACACATATATATATATATATATACACACACACACACTTAACTGTGAATAGATTATATTTTGTGTCCACTAAACACCATGTGACTAGTAGTGCTCAAACACATTAAAATCACCTCTTTCTGTGTTTTGCACACAGTTATTTTGGACAATCCTTTCACTGGGGACTGACACGTTCTTATGGGGAGGAAGAAAATAGTAAAAATGAGAGACAATAGCAGGTTTTTAACAGAGTTGTTGAACAAAAAATAAAAACCCTGTTCAAGTAATTCTCGCAAGCTCAATCTTCACGGTGAACTGCTCTGGAGAACTTGCAAGTAAACAAAAAAAAAAACAAAACACAAAACGATTTGTTATACGCTATTAAAAGCAGAACTGTCAAGAGATATACCAAACCAAAGAAGGGATTTTACTTTGTCTCTGTATGTTTTCAAAGCCTGACACCTCTAGACACTGCGCGGAGCTCTCACCATCTAGCAGTGTCAATCAACCACGGCTGCAGGGAATTGGCTCTGTCTACTGAGGATCATGAGAGATGCTTCATAGACCTCAGTGCTGTACTCTTGCGCATTGGCAAGAGTACAGCAGTGACGTCTGCTTCTGGCAGTTGAAGCACAAGTAGCTGTAGAGGACCAAATGGAGGAAGATGGCCGCGAGGGACAGGTACAGGTTAATAAAACTCACATTTACCTGCCCTGCCATTGGCGATGTCACAGTCAAGGGTCTTTGAAAATTCTGCAAAGTCCCCAGATGGTGACAGTGCCACTTAATATTTAAAAACAAAAAGTAACTAACCACCAAAACAATATGCCGCATAAGAAAACTTAAAGGGACACTAGGTACCAAAACGACTTTAGCTTAATGAAGAGGTTTTGGTGTATAAATCGTGCCCCTTCAGTGTCACTGCTAAATTCTCTGCCAGTTAGGAGTTAGATCACTTTGTATATGCAGCCTTAGTCACACCTCCCTGCATGTGACTTACACGGCCTTACTAAATACCTTCCTGTAAAGAAAGCTCTAATGTTTAAACATTTATTGCACATTTTGTTTAATTTAGAATTTCTTATCTCCTGCTCTGTTAATAGCTTTCTAGACATTACAGGAGCCATCTGTGTGTGAATAAAGTTCAATTTACAGAGCAGGAGGTAAAAAAAAAAAAACTATCTGCATGATCCAGTCTGTGAAGCCTACCCCAATAGGTGAAAAAATACCTCCTAAAGTAGGTTAACATCTGACTGAAATAGAAACTTTTTTCCCCCCTCCCATGCAGGCTGTGAGAGTCATGTCCAGGGGAGGTATGGCTAAGGCTGCACAAACAGACAAAAGTGATTTAACTCCTAAGTAGCAGAGCAGGGAAATGATCTATACACCAAACTGCTTCATTAAGCTGAAGTTGTTTTGATGCCTATAGTACCCCTTTAAATATGCACCTTGGATGTAAAAACCCAAGGGCAGAGTATAACCTCAACATCTGACAAAAGGGATTTAGGAGTAATTATTTCAGACTTAGTGGACCACTATAGTGCCCTGAGGGTGCCCCCACCCGCCGGGCTGGATGGAGAGGAAGGGGGTTAAACTTACCTCTTTTTCCAGCGCCGGGCGGGGAGCTCTCCTCCTCTTCAGCTGAATGCGCATGCGACAAGAGACAGCCACTGGAGGCTGGATTAAACCTAACAAACATAACTGCTATGTTTATAAAAAAAAAAAAAAGGGGGTTAACCCTAGCTGGACCTGGCACCCAGACCACTTCATTAAGCTGAAGTGGTCTGGGTGCCTATAGTGGTCCTTTAAAGGTAGGAAGACAATGTAACAGAGCAGCTGTGGATGCTTGTTTGTATAGGGAGAGATATTAGCAGTAGAAAGAGGGAAGTGCTCATGCCATTGTACAGAACACTGGTGAGACCTCACTTGGAGTATTGTACGCAGTACTGGAGACCGTATATTCAGAAGGATATTGATACTCTAGAAATAGTTCAGAGAAGGGCTATTAGACTGGCTCATGGATGGCAGGATAAAACTTACCAGGAAAGGTTGAATGATCTTAACATGTTTGGCTTGGAGGAAAGATAGAAACATTTAAAGGACCACTATAGTGCCAGGAAAACACTCATTTTCCTGGCACTATAGTGCCTTGAGGGTGCCCCCATCCTCAGGGTCCCCCTCCCGCCGGGCTCTAGGATGAGGAAGGGGTTAAAAAACTTACCTCTTTCTCCAGTGCCGGGCGGGGAGCTCTCCTCCTCTCCGGCTGAATGCGCATGCGCGGCAAGAGCCGCGCGCGCATTCAGCCAGTCTCATAGGAAAGCATTCACAATGCTTTCCTATGGACGCTGGCGTCTTCTCACTGTGAAAATCACAGTGAGAAGCTCGGAAGCGCCTCTAGCGGCTGTCAATGAGACAGCCACTAGAGGCTGGATTAACCCTAATGTAAACAGTTTCTCTGAAACTGCTATGTTTATAGAAAAAAGGGTTAAACCTAGCTGGACCTGGCACCCAGACCACTTCATTAAGCTGAAGTGGTCTGGGTGCCTATAGTGGTCCTTTAAATACATAAAGGGAATCAACACAGTAAAGGAGGAGACTATATTTAAAAGAAGAAACACTACCACAGCAAGAGGACATAGTCTTACTTATTACTTACAGTATTACTTCACTGAGAGGGTATTGGATGCATGGAATAGCCTTCCAGCTGAAGTGGTAGAGGTTAAACACAGTGAGTGAGTTTAAGCGTGCGTGGGATAGAAATAAGACTATCCTAGAATTAAGATAAGGCCAGGGACTAATTAAAAGTATTTTGAAATATTGGGCAGACTAGATGGGCCAAATAGTTCTTATCTGCCGTCACATTCTATGTTTCTATGACCCTTTGCATATTTAATACTTAAACTAGAGGTACGTGATCAGTAAAAAAAATTTGGAAAGCGTCTCTAGTGGCTGTCAGGAAAGCAGTTTAATCTATAAAATTGCAATGTTTTACACTGCAAGGTTAAACTACAGAACTACTGCATTAACATAAAGTAGTCGGGGTGTCTTGAGTGGTCTTTTAATTGTATTTAGCAGTAACTACACATTTTAGTATATTAAAATCAGATAAACTATTTAACAGCAGTTTTAATATCCACTTGATTTGTCCCAGTTCCCTAAAAACACAAAGGGAATATTTGGAAAGCAACCTGAATATACTCTATGTTCAATTAGAAATAAAAAAGAAAAGATCAACTTGTCTTATTAAAGGGACATTAGTCACCAAAACAACTTTAGCGTAATAAAGGAGTTTTGGTGTATAGATCATGCTCATACAGTCTCACTGCTCAAGTCTGTCATTTAGGAATTAAAGAACCACTAAAGTGCCAGGAAAACAAACATACTCGTTTTCCTGGCACTATAGTGCCCTGAGGGTGAGCCCACCCTCAAGGTCCCCCTCCTGCCGGGCTCTGGGGAGAGGAAGGGGTTAAACAATCACCTTTCTCTAGCACCAGGCGGGGAGCTCTCCTCCTCCTCCTCCTCGGCTGAATGCGCAGCAGGAGCTGCGCACGCAGCCAGTCTCATAGGAAAGCATTCATATTGCTTTCCTATGGACGCTGGCGTCTTCTCACTGTGATTTTCACAGTGAGAAGCACGCAAACGCCTCTAGCGGCTGTCAATGAGACAGCCACTAGAGGCTTTAGAGGCTGGATTAACCCATTTATAAACAAAGCAGTTTCTCTGAAACTGCTATGTTTATAAAAAAAAAAAAAAAATGGGTTAACCCTAGCTGGACCAGGCACCCAGACCACTTCATTAAGCTGAAGTGGTCTGGGTGCCTAGAGTGGTCCTTTAAGTCACTGTTTATGCAGCCCTATACAAACCTCCCTGCATGTGACCTGCACAACCTTTCTAAACACTACCTGTAAAGTGAGATCCAATACTTACACTACCTTAATTACACAGTGTTTAATTTATATCTCCTGGTCACTTATTAGCCTTCAGACCCTGCCAGAGTCTGTCTGTGATTGAAGGTCAGTTTACAGTGCAAGAGACAAAGACTTGTAAAGCAAGTTAACATCTGATTGAAACCTAAACCATTTTTTTCATGCAGGCTGTGTCAGTCACAACCAGGGGAGGTGCATAAATAGAAACAAATTTAACTCCGTAATGGCAGAGAATTATGCACCAAAACTGCTTCATTAAGCTGAAGTTGTTTTGGTGACTATAGTATGCCTTTAGGGCTCTTTTTGGTGCAATTATTATGTGCCTTGCTAATAGTTCTGCGTGAACAGACGTGGTTTGTAAAAGAGTCCTCATCTATGTGTAAAGTATTCAGGGTGTAGGAAAACAGACCTGGAGAACTGTATTTTCTCATGTTCCGTGCTAGAACGTCGTAGCTTGTTTCTTCTGAGATCTTCACATCCAAATCTTAAGGAGAAAAGCAAAAAGAGTGAGAATGAGAAAAGATATAGAAGAAAGGGGAAATTATGACTTGCATGAAGACAAACAAGTTGATTAAACAAAGCATTGAAACTAAATTAAGATAAACATGCTACACGATCTGGTATATATTTTATTAATTTAATTTCTATCGATTGATAAAGCATGATTACTACTGGATATATCTGACTTGTACACAAATAGGATTCAGGTGGATCAAATTAATCAAATTCAATTAGTAATACACCACAGGTAAATCCTGGACAGAAATATTCATCCTGGCATACTTGTAAAGAAATCTGATTTGTTCAACGCACCTGAAACACATTGGTGGAGAGAGAGTGAGTGTGTTTTACATCAAGTTGACACAGTTTTAACAGGCTGTTTCTTAGATGCATTTTTTTTTCTCCACAATGCTCCATACATTGTTTACCTCTAAGAAGAATTTATTGACTCTTAAAGCTGAGACTCTAAAGACCTGGATGTCTGCCACGTGGTTAAAACATTGGAACTCCATAAAACATAACAAACATGAAGAGTATACCATGGACTTTCCAGCCTTATACAACACACACATATTCTACTTTTACACATTTAAAATATTTTTACTAGACCTTGCAGAGAACTGATTTTCAGAATACATTTTCAGTCTAAAATTATAAAGCTGGAAAAATAGAATTGAACAAATTTTCCAGTTTGGCTATTATGATTTAAAATCTATGATTCCCTTGTAATACACAATGTCTGGTTTGCAGAATTACCTAGAGAGAATTTGAGCCTGCTTATTGTGCAAACATATATGTAGATCAAAACATGTAAATATAAGATATGTCTACAATAATCAGTATAGGTAGCTTAAAACCACAACAACAACAAAAAAGTCGTCAATATTGCTGGATTGTGGAATATCATTACTGCTTATTCATACAATGCCAAAATTATTTTCAGCATTGCAAAATAGGCACATCGTCATTTGTGTATCATGATATATTCAGCCTCCCAGAAATAGTTCAATCCTGACATCTACTTTAATTCACACAATTCCTAGAAATATCTATAACTTCTCGAAACTTGTTTTAACCAGTACCTTTTCTTTTTTTTTAATTGTGTGCTCAATGTATGATAAAAACCTTAAACACATCGATGTACCCAAGATTATTTTCCAATGTCACTCAATATATTATACATACTAATACAGCCTAACAAACTCTTTAAAATATCATGCCGTATAGCACATTTCCCACTAAACCCCATTCCCACAGTTTCGCACCATCTTGGCTGGTAAGTCCAGACTCCTGCATGGATTCATTTCCACTGTCTGGTGCCTTGCCGCCACTCCGACTGTTTTGTTGCTGCCCTCCACGAGAATTACTTTTACGTGTCCGAGTCTTGCGGGTGCTTATACGGATAATACCTCGAACAAGTCGGCATTCAGCATCCTGTTCCTCCAACTGGTAGTCCTGCGTTAGGCTGCTTATTAGCTCTGTAATTTGACTACTCTTCTCGAGAAAGACTGTTTCAGAAGTGCACCGTGCCAGCTCATCAATTTGATGGAAACTAAACAGCTCAGTCAGCTTTTGCCAGATTAGCACATCTATCTCTTGACTGGACATAGAGCCACTCCATCGTGAGAGATCAGGATCAGAGTCTCGTGGCAAATAGTCTTCCCCTGCTGAGTTGCGGGGTGCTGGAGGTGGGGCAGGTGGATCTTTAGAAGCCTCAATGTCTGTAGTAGTAGTGCAGGCCTTGTTGAACACAGGTACCCCTTTGAGTTTAAGGTCTGGGTAACTGAAACTGTTACCCAGACCTACCTTTTTATTTCTTTCACCATCACGCCGCTGAGGTGGACTACCTGCGGGGTGACCATTGTGAGAGCCACCCTCTGAAATTTCCACTGTGCAGGGGGTGTATTCCTCAGGATCCTTCTGTGAACAGCGACTGCAGGACAACACATAACACAAAACACTTTTGTATGTAGTCCAAGCACTGTAAAGTTGGGGACAGCATTGAGACTCTTCGGGGGACGTTTCAGCAGAGCCAGATACAAATATAATATCTTCACTGGTACTTTTTCGCTGCTGCCGTAAGTCATTGGCATTTTTTCCCGGCAAACTGCGACGGGGAGGTGAAAAATGTACTGTGGGATCCTCCCGGCCCCGGGGGGTGGGCAAAGGATAGGGTCCTGGCATTTCTTTACTTGTAAAACCTAAAGAAGAAAATGTAATAATAACATTAACTCTATGTTGATTTCACTCCATACAAACCACATGCCATTTATTTAACATTTCCTACCTTCACTATAAAGTTATTGCCTGTTCTGTACTGACTGCTTTCCCAGCTTTATGGACTGTCTTACCCCCTCTCAATACACACACCAACAAAAAGATAAACTTTTACACCCAAGGCCCCAAATCGTAACCTGTTCAGTCATTTTTAGCTCCTACTTCTTCTTCCTGTTCAGTAGCTTCTCACCTCTCCTTCCTAACACCAACCCCCCCTCCCCATCGCCTAATTCACACACATACACTCCTCTCACATTGCCTTTTCTCGCGGCCGGTGTTGGGGAAGGGGAGGAGGGGGAACAACAGCGGGGTCGGTTACGGTATTTTCCGAGTCTCTCGTTTCTCGCCTGTTTCCGGTTCCGGTCAAAACCGCCTCTACCTGCCCGCCAGGTGAGCGGTGTAACCACGCCCCCTACCTGCGTGACCTAGCCACCTGAGGCGCGCCCACCCGGTGACGTAACTCGCTGACCCCGCCCCTGCTAAATCAACGGGGCACCGTAAGGGTCAAATGTGCGAGATAACGGTACGCAATAGCGCCCGTCCAATTCACTATTACAGGTGCGGTCATTTCCGCTCTTGGATGACAATAACTAGCTGACTCTTCAACTTAGTGCGTACTGGTCTGAGTAAGTGATTGACATTGCTTTATTTGTAGGATCGTGTATGATTGAGCCCTCATTATCCAGGTACTCTGCCTCATCTCCGCTGGGAGAAGGGGGGTGGCGTCATGTTTTCCTCCTCCTAGAGGTAGGCGGTGACGTCACGCGTTGCAAACCGAGCTCTGCAGAGCAGTAGGAGCAGTGCACAGGACGGGGAAGGCGCAGCAGTTCAGTCAGGGAGACTATAGAGCGATTGGCGGAGTTATACAGAGAGAAGATCCAAGAATATTCATAGTATCCAGCCAGGCGGCAGCTGGCTCCGAGGGGCTGAGAGAGCTGGCAATTGAGGCATTATCTAGATATTTGTCCTCTGTGGAAGGACATCTGAAGTCCAGTTCTAAACAGGGAAGGCATCATCTCTATCCTTGATTTTTTTCATAGGGAGAAAACCACCAGTCATTATTGAAGGAATTTATCTCGGCACTGATCAATCACAGAGAATTCCACTGATAATTCTACATCAATCTACATTCTATACAGCGAACAGGACATCTCTGCATCATCCTCACACTGCAGCAGGGATACACTGCAAAATAAACCACAAAAAAGACATTGGAGGATACCGCTTGTTCTACAGTAACTCTGTTCTTTATATTACATTGTCTTTCCTGTGCTAACTTCCTCTCTGTCCATCTCCATGCCCCTTGTTCAGGGTAGTGCATTGAGGAGTCTGCAGAGGGTCTTCACCCATACTCGGTCTGCCAACGTGCCCCAGGGCACAGAAGAGGAACCTTCCTCCCCTCCGCCGTCTACTTCCTTCTGGAAGTCTTCTTGTACAACACACCTGTTCCACAGACGATCTGCTGCTGCTTCCTGCTCTCCCCCAAGAAGGTCAACTTCTGTCCCCATTGACTTCACTTTAAAATCAACTACTTATCCAAGCATCCTTCGTGCTCCTAAGTCTTCTAAAGACAGGGATACGTCTGTCAGTGAAAATATAATCAGTAAGTCCACTTCTGTCCCACACACGTTTTTAAAGCCCACTTGCCCACAAACACCTCCCAAATCTAAAAAATCCAATGCAGCCTCCACTGATATTTCTAGTCAGACTATTGATTCTCCAAATCACTCTAATTTGGATCAGTCTGCATTAGAGATGTCTACTTTAAAGGAATCTCTACCATCACCCACCAGTCAACATAATCCAGTTTCCAAACTCTCTTCTGAAATGGCCACTTTTATCCCCACTACTTTACCCTCAGCTTCTACTTCTGCATCCACATCAGTACCACCTGTCATATCCATTGCTTCTTCGGGTCAGTTGCACTCACCTTCAAAAAATCCTGCATCACAGCCTACCCAAACCAAACACTCTCCTGTATCCTCACCTCCTAAGTCCTCTCCTGCCCACTCGCCCCTGAAGTCCCCCACTCATCACTCTTCCCCTAGAAGACACTCCTCTCAGAGGCACAAGATGCCTGTTGCCCCAGGCCCTACATGGTCAGAGCTTTTGGAGGCAAGACGCAGGTTGTTGGCAATTGAAGGACAACGACAAGCAATTTGTGCGTTGGAAATGCGTGTCCAGCAGGTGCATTATGTCTTTCTTCAAGCTGAATTAAGGGTGGCAAGACAGAGGGAAGCATTGGCCAGGCTAGTGGATGCTGCAGGACGGGCAGAAGTCCAGGCAACGGTTCATGGGCAACGGTTTAAAAGAGCCTTGCGCAGACACAAACCACGGCTATTGGCTTGTGCCCTTTGTGTTCCATGGGGTAGCAAATCAGAGCGCCGAGGTGGACAACATTCTCGCCATACACGCTGTGCCTTTTTTCAGGGCAGGGTACAGGGGCTAAGGGGATGTGTGAGTGGAGAGGATGTGGGAACAAGGGACTGATAAATATGTTCTCTGTTTGTGCATGGGTAATAAGTTGGCTACCAAACAACTGCCGTTGCCCATCAGGTTAAAAATAACAAGTGATGCGTTCAACCTAGACAACTTTTAGTTTTTTTGTCTTTCACATTCTTCCCACTAATGCCTGGCATTATTTTGTTCTAGAATTTTTTTTATTTTTATTTTTTAAATGCTGCTACTTAAAACCCCACTGTTTAACTATGGTTCTGTACTTTGTGCAAACTACTGTGTATATGCCCACAGACGCTTCTGCATCTTAAAAGCAAGGTCCATTGCTGCATTTGTGATCTATATTGAAGACATGTTATTTTGGCGAAAACCTCTTCAATAATTATGTCCTTCGCAATCTCCTTGTCGATCTGTATCATATCGATTACTTGTGATCTTCTCCTTTGTCTGAAATTCAGAGATGTCATCATTCTAAAACAAGTCTATTTGCTACAATCTTGAGAAAGCCAATGCTGCTGGTATTCAATCTGCTGCCTGTTTTTGATATCTGATTGCAAACCAACTGCTTTTGGGTACCACAGGAAATCTGTCTTCTTTGAGCATTGTGCATCAAGAGGCCAAATTAGAGTATCTGTAGATGGCATTATTAAATTAAAGCAACCACGCAATTGGAATTGGGTAATTATGTCCTTCTACATTGAAGATGTGTGCAGGCAAAATTATCCTGCAAAAAGCATGATTTAGGTTTACCAATTTGTGGTCTGAGTTTTCATTATAGAATATTAACATAAAAATCTCGAAAACCAGGAAGTGCCTACTGTGTTGGGGGAAAATGGAGAAAATTATATTGATGTTAATTTTCACAAAACAGATTTTGTATTTTAGTTGACCTAAATAATTCATTACTGATTCTTTTACAGCTCGTTGTGTCTCAGATGAAACTAAAAGGGGTGTGTGTGTGTGTGTGTGTGTGTGTGTGTGTGTGTGTGTATATATATATATATATATATATATATATATATATATATATGTGTTGGTTGAAGCAAATTCAGTTATAAACATATATTTCCTACTATTTGCTAAATTTAAGCTTATACACAATTATGACAGGTATTACACTTTCATGCTATGTACTATCTGTAACAGTAATATTGTTATTTTTATAACACTTTCCCGATTAATATATAATTATAAGTGTTTTTTGTCTGTGCTGGGGAATAATTAGGCAACGCAAATACTAATTTGTCAACATATTTAGCATACTTTGCTAACTTTAAGTTGGTGGGGTATACTCTCAATAACCCTACAATTCTTAGATTTATTAAGGTTATGATAAGGTCAAAAAGTGAGACATTTCCCACTGATTTAATTATATTCTCGATTATACTGTACTTAACCTTTATATCACAAGACAGCCTTTAATACATTTTGCATGAGAAACAGTAGAAGTTCTTAAAAAAAGTCTTTCTACAACCCTCCAAGCATGCTATTTGAAATATTCAAGTAAAGAGAGGTAATATCATCATCTCTTATTCAGACTGTTCAGCTATACCACCACAGTGATCCTCCTTCCAAATGAATGACTCAATGGCCAGCATGGTTTTGGCTCTACAGTACACCAACACAAAATGGAAATGCACAAACTGTAATGTTTTCAATGCACACTATACAATGAGACTGTATTCATTTTATTCACTGTATAGATCTATAGCCCAATTTACTATTTATTTTTTAATAGCTGTAATTCCATTATAAGTTACTGTAAATGCCACTCTTGATGCTTTCATTACTAGATACAACCCTTTCACATAAAAAGGGTACACCACAATGGAGTTTGTATTATCAGGAATAAATCGCAAAAACATTATAGCCATAGAACATTTTCCAGAGCAATGTATTTCTACAGAATTGTATAGATATCTATTGCATTAGCAATATGATTACGAGTAAGTGCAAAATTAGCTTCAGGTATAACGTTTTTCTAATAATATAGTTGCTTAAGAAAATATAACATTCTTATATTTAAATTTTTATTATAGTTATACTTGTAGCACTATAAAGTTGAATGTACTGCCATATAACACTAAACACAAATATTAGATTAAACCTTTTAGAATACTTCAGTATACTCCTATTGAAAGTAACATGGATCATAAGTGATAAGTGCGCATGAGGAGAAAAATATGTCTGTAAAAACATTCATTAGTGTTATGTATTTGGACTGCTGCACGGTGCTGCTGGTGTAACATTTTCAATGATCATTTATTTGTAACAGATACAAGCTTTATGTGTGCAAAGTGAGCCCTCAGATCAAGGCAGTTAAGTGTTTGCTAAAATATGATGTGTGAATCCAGTGCTTCAATATGAGGACAGCCAGATCTGCTTGCAAAAGGGACAGATCCGTCAGAAAAAGGGGCATGTCAATCTGGCTGACTGCCATCATGCTGTTCGGCTGGATCTTGTTCCCTTCGTGTACACAAGTGTATCATACATCATTAGAAGCATGGCACCAGGGAACAAAGCTGGGACTGTGGAATAGGTGCAATCCTGACAGATTTGGAGACCTATATTTAGTGCAACTCTTGGCTTACCATGGTAACATCTATGCTTAGCCCTCCTTTTCTACTGAAGGGTTTCTCCAACCCTTTCTGTTTAAAAGAAAATGTCAATAGGGCATTATTCTATTTGTCCCCCAGGGTACCCTTGTGAATGGTGTCAGGATTCATGAACATACTAGCTCTCAATTATGTGCACAGGCTCTCCTTTCATCGGATAAAATTAATTCCTGACTATTGAGGCCTTAAAGATGGCAGCCCCATTGAAAGAAGGGTAAGTCAGGAGAGAATACACGGAAATGATATAATACATTTTCATTTTAAAGAGCCATTATAGGCACACAGACCACTTAATCTCTCTAAAGTGGTCTGGGTGCCCTGTCCACTTAACCCTGCAATCTAAAACATGGCAGTTTCAGAGAAACTGCAATGTTTATATTGCAAAGTTAAGACTGGCTCTAGAGGCTGTCCAACAGACACTTACTAGAGGAGTTTCCTGCTGTTTCACAGAGTTTAACGGGACGTCCTCATACTGTACATGAGGACATCCATCGTCTTCATATCACACTTGGGAAAGTATTGATACCACTTGTGATGATGTTGGAGGCGTAGGTGGAGCCAACACCGAGGGATTTCAAGTGTTTTAAAGGGGTTTTAACCCTTTAATTGCCGGGAGGAACATAGGGACCCTATAGTGTTAGGAATACAGCTTTGTGTTCCTTTAATAATAATAATAATTTTAAAAAAAATCTGAATGTTTTTTCCTTTTATCCATAGTGCAAGGATGCCATGCGTGAGCTATTATAGCTAGCTACTTGAGGTATAACTCCACCTCAAGCAACTCTTATTAGCTAGTTGGAAGAAGTGTTCTTGACTTGCTAATGTTAATTCTGTCTATATTCTATGCAAAGGTGCTCATTCATTGGCTGAGAGGGCCCATCTCACACTCTCAGCCAATGAATGAAAGACTGTACTGACATTCAGTTTTACAGCACTGCCAAAACCAAATGTCATTCAACTGCATTCATTGCTGCTCAGTGCCTGGTGTGACCCAGGTAAGTGGAAAATTATTGTTAAACAGTTTGCCACCTTACCAGGGTATGGCTTCATGGTACTCTTGGCATCGTAACCCATGCAGTGAGTTGTAGTGGTTATGAGGCTTGGAGTATCCCTTTAAGTTGGACAGTACCTATAAACTACTTGCAAACTCGTTGCTCATAGAGTTTCCACTGTATATCATGTTCACCACAGTGAATTTAAACACTATAGGCAACAATAGGAGCGCTTACAATTGTACAAGCAAGCTTTCAATTAACCTTTTTTTGGGGATTAAAACTGGAGTCACTATCTAGATCAGGCAATACAAACTTCAATTGAATAACCCCATGGGGGTTCATACGTGTAAGGCTGATACTATCTAACTCTAAAAGATGTATTCATGTTTCTTTTTTAACCAGGGATTTATGACAAAATATGTTTTTCTGTAAGCATATTACATAAAGGGTCCTTCTAATTTGAAGATATTGGGTGATATATTATGAAAAGGGTTAAAGTACTCTCGATTCTATTGGTAAACATACAGAATAAAATAGCTAAAATACAGAATTATTGATAGGGGCGGCAGGTGTAACCAAACTGGCATTTGGACAGTTTTTAATAGGAAAGGTATGGTGAGTTGAGGGATCAAAATTAGCAATTTGATTGTGACTTTATTCTCAACACTTTCACTGGGGTATTTAGTTTCTGCTCAGTAGTGGAGCACGGTTAAAAAGCTCACTGGTATCTTTTATGTGTAGTAAGCAATTCATTAGTATACGGAAAACAATATTTAACTCGGCAAATGCCAAAGTGTTTTTCTGTAACACTTAAAGGGGAATTAGTTAATGGTTCATGCTTTTGGGAAAGCAAATTCTTGAGGAAGTACAAGTACATAAAACTGGCTAATATATATATATATATATATATATATATATAATATATTCATATCACTCCTAGTTGTTATATTGCTGTAGTGCACTCCAGATGTTGTGTACTACATCCCCCATAATGCTTTTACACCCATAATGCTGGCAAAGCATCATGGGAGGTGTAGTCCAAAACATCTGGAGTGTTGAAGGTTGTCTAGGCCTGCTCTAGATCGTGAACAGGTACCGTAACAAAAATAATAAAAGCTTGCAAAAGACTCTCTTTGGTCTGAAATATGAATTTATTGCAACGAAGTTATTGTTTTAGTTGATGTTTATCTATCAATTATGTTTGTTCCAACCTTGCACTTGATGACCTGTTATGAAACGTTCATGCCCTGGTGCTCGATACAAACAATGGCAATAAATCTGCATTTGTGTCTTCCTGTGGCATCGTAACCAGGCCCGGACTGGCCATCGGGCATACCGTGCAAACGCCCGGTGGGCCGCGATGGCCGTGGGGCCGAGGCCGGCAGGGGAGATCCCAGGATCTCCCCTGCCAGCCCGTGCAGGGCCAGCGCTATCCGAGTGCCGGCCCTGCATAGTGCCTCCACGGGCCGGTGGGGAGATTAAAGATCTCCCTCAGCGGCCCACAGACAGGGAGATGCGGCCGCCGGCTGGGGAGGGAGGGAGGCAGGAGAGAGGACCGGCGGAGCTCTAACCAGCAGCTCCGCCGGGTCCTCTCGCGAGATTCTGAGCGTTACCGCGGCAACGCTCAGATCTCGCGAGAGTGAACTCTAACCTGCAGGTTAGAGTTCACTCTCACCACTGGACCACCAGGGAAGGCAGCATGGCTCCCCTCAAGGCTCCCCCTCCCAGGCAGAACGGCTCCCTCCCCCTCCCAGGCTAAAGGTAAGAAGGGAGGGGGGGAGACATAACTTTAAAAAAAAAATTATTAATAAAAAAAAATATATATATATAAAATTAATTCCCAAACAGCACCCCCAGACACACACACAGCACCCCAGACACACACAGCGCACCCAGACACACACAGCACCCCCAAACACACACAGCACCCCCAAACACACACAGCACCCCAGACACACAGCACCCCCAGAGACACAGCACCCCCAGACACACACACACAGCACCCCAGATACACACACAGCACTCCCAGACACACACAGCACCCCCAGACACACACACAGCACCCCCAGACACACACAGCACACCCAGAGACACATATATATATATATATATATATATATATATATGTATATATATATATATATATATATTATATATTATATAAAATAACCCTCAGTGAGTTAACAGACAAAGAAAATTAGAAACCTAGAATGTGACGGCAGATAAAAACACCCTAACACACAGCACCCCTCTTACACAAACACACTGCGCACCTCACACATACAATACGTCCAAATATATTCTAAATATATATACACACACACTACAGCACCCCTCACACTGCACCACTACACACATAACGCTCCAGATACACGTTAGATCCCTTACCCTATATGCACTCTTAATCCTCTACACACACACACACACACACACACACACACACACACAATCTTCTATACACACTCTGGGTCCTTTACACACTAGATCTCTTACACACACACACTGCACCACCTACACACACACACACTATATTCCTTGTAAGGAAAGACATACAACATTCTCTAAACACACCCTCTCTACAACCCCTACACACACTACGCCACCTATACACACACACTACTGCCCGTATGCACACACTCGCTACATCCCCTATAACACTATGCCCCTATACACGCACTCTCTACAGCCCCTAGCAACACATATTACACCTATTTACACAATACCACACCACACTCTACACACAGGCAATCCCACAAGCAGGCGCCAAACACATGCAAAATACACTTTCCTGGCCCTTTTGTCCTCTGGTATCCCACTTGTGGAGACACCAGAGACAATTTAAAAGCAAACACAGCGCAAGCATGTTATTACATTTGCTTGCGCTGCGCAGAACAAATTCAGGGCCTTTTTCTAATGCTAGAGCTCTTCAGCGGGGCTCTGCGCATTGAACCAACATGCTTACTTTGAGAGGGGGCGTGCTTGTCATTAGTGATGACAAAACACACCCTCTCTGACCCCGCCCCCTTCTTGGGGGGCCGCTCTAATTGAAAAATGCCCGGGCCTAATTTTTTTTCCCAGTCCGGCCCTGATCGTAACCCATGCAGTGAGTTGTAGTGGTTATGAGGCTTGGAGTATCCCTTTAAGTTGGACAGTACCTATAAACTACTTTTGGTCTGAAATATGAATTTATTGCAACGAAGTTATTGTTTTAGTTGATGTTTATCTATCAATTATGTTTGTTCCAACCTTGCACTTATGAAACGTTCATGCCCTGGTGCTCGATACAAACAATGGCAAGAAATCTGCATTTGTGTCTTCCTGTGAAAATATCTTAAGCTGCTCTATTTTTAATGCAGGCACATTCTATTTTGAATACACAGTCCCTTGTGTTTTGAGTGTTTTTTTTTTTTTATGACCTAGGTGCAGGTGTGTATGTATGTATACATTTTTATTATAAGAACATGTATATTATTAATAAAACAAAATTAAAGTTGATTTCCCACTCCCTACTGTTATCTTGGGCCAGGGAGGAAGGACATGATTATTCCTGGAGGTCCAGTGTGAAGAGCTTTTGGTGTGCACCTACTGCTGATGTAGATCTGGTGTAATGCCTCTTCCATTCACAGTATCAGTTGTTATGCCGTGGTAACCCTTGGCAACACTCTGAACCATCAGGAGCTTGTGGGAGCAATTACACCAGGTCTACACCTGATACCTGCACCCCTAACACCTCTGTGCTGCTCTCCCTGCCCAACCGAGCAGAGAAAGCAACACAAAACCAACGATTCAGGGCTCCAAGCTGCCTGTCGTACTAAAGAACTGCACCCCAAATAATGGTGCCACCCAGTGTAGTCTGCACCCCGCACACTGCTATGTGTGTATGTGTATATTTAATATGGGAGAAGGACGGAATCTGTTATTTATGTCTGATTACATGCTAGATTAGCCAAATTTGGGGTGGAGGAGGGGGAAATGTGGTACAGCAAACCCGCTATAACCAAGATGGAGATTTAATCTATTAATCCCTCACCATAGGCAGCAGTATGAGGGTTCTTTGTAAACTAATTAAAGCAGTGTCCTCCTCATTTAAAGGGACATTCCAGGCACCCAGACCACTTCTGCCCATTGGAGTGGTCTGGGTGCCAACTCCCACTACTCTTAACCCTGCAACTGTAATTATTGCAGTTTTTTTTATAAACTGCAATAATTACATTGCAGGGTTAACTCCACCTCTAGTGGCTGTCTACAGCCACTAGAGGGCACGTCCTGATTCATAGCAAAGATTTTCTTTGCTAGAGCGTCGCTGGACGTCCTCACGCTGTGTGAGGACCTCCAGCGTTGCTCAATTCCCCATAGAAAAGCACTGAAAATCTTGAGCATTAGGTTTCCTCAGCCGGCGGGTGGGATCAGTCTCACCCACCGGCTGACGTGATTACTGGGAGGAGTGACGCCGACCCGAAACCACCGCCGAGGTTTCAGGGATGGGAGGGAGGTAGAGAGAGGGTACCTGCAGTGTCAGGAAAACTGATTGTTTTCCTGGTACTGGAGTTTTCCTTTAAGTGTTCCTGTCAAAAGGTTTAATCTTTTTTTTTTTTTTTTCATGTGTTGTTAAATTCCCCCCCACAATGTAATAAGTTGGCACTATATAAATGCCAATAATAATCAAGCACTGAGGCATCTACTCAATTATCGAATCTCATGGTGATATTTGTTCAATGGAACTCATCACTGATATTTTTGAGTTACTGCAGTTTTTAGGGCCAGTTGAGGTGAATCACGAAAAGTTCAGATTTGGATCAGTTTTGAAGCATTTTGGTAAATTAGCCATAACACCTGATTACCTTTTGATGGTGCAATTAACAAGGAAACAGAGAATTTCCTTATATCAGAGTATTTGCTATTTTTATTTTATGTCTCTATATACAAGACCGTAAAAAGCTTTTCAAACCTGCCCTTCCAGTTCATAATGTATGGACTATGAGCTGTTTGCCTCTCTGCACATGGTGATATTGTTCAGAAATTGTAAAATAAAAATAATAAAAATTCAATGCTGTGTGTTAAATATGTTAATGCCTTACAAAATGATTTTTTTTAGAATGTATAGAAATGTAAAGGGCATCTGTATATGAACAAATAACCAATAAATGCTTATTTTAGAATTTCTGATTTATTGATTTATGTTTCCTTCTTGCTTTTTGTAATGTTTATTAACACATGAATTACCTGTATAACACACAAGAAATTATTCTGACACAGAATATGAGATTTATTCACCAAACAAAAAATTGGTAGTGAATTGACAAACTGAATTGCAAAATATAGCTGATTTGCAAGTCTTCTTTAGCTCTGCTATAGTCCCAGTTTGGCTGTTTGTTACTAAATCTAGCAATTGTTATCACTTCGCTGTAATTTTGGTGTTTAGTGAATAAACCCCACAAGGGTCAGACATTCAATTAACGTTTTAGTTTTCCTTTATATGTGTAACATATTTACCCAGTGAGTGTGTGTCTGTCAGTGTATGTTTTCCAATCACATAGTAAAGGTGTTTTTACTCACCTTTTTTTCCCACTCTGTTCAGGCCTCGCTGTGGGTGTCCCCGCCTCCATGGGTGAAATTTCAATCAAGCCACGCATTAGGAGGCTTTTGCTCTTGTGCTAATCATAATCTCCTTTAGCGATTCATTGAATCAATGCATCTCTATGGGGAACATTCAGTGCCTCCATGCAGAGTGTGGAGACGCTGAATGCAAGTTCTGCACACTGTGCAGCACTAGACTAGAAATCACCTCTAGTGGCTGTCTGAGTGACAGTCACTAGAGGGGTTTCTAGGCAGCTATGTAAACACTGCATTTTCTTTGGAAAGGTAGTGATAACCTTGAAAAGCTTGCAGGGACAGGATATAGACAGCCAAACCACTACATTTAGCTGTAGTGTCCCTTCAAAAATGTTATTTTTGTTGTTGAAAATTAAGCTTTGTTTTAAAAAAAAGGTTTCCTAAGTTTTTTTTTTTTTAAGCTGCCTCCTAGATTCCAAGCAAATTTGTCAAGCCCTGCCTTCTCTCAATGTACACAAGCATTTAAAGGAACACTAGAGGGTCAGGAACATAAACATGTATTCCTGGCCATATAGTGTTAAAACCACAAACTAGCCCGCCATGGCATGCTATTGTCCCCATAAATATAGCAAAATCTTAACCTTTATTGCAGTCTGCTGCTGCTGGCTCTACACCATATATGCCTGTTTGACATAATCAGAAGTGGTGTTCTGAGCCAATCATAATGCTTTCACATTGGATTGGCTGAGCTTGTCAAGGAGGCAGATCAGGGGCAGAGCAAGCACTAGATACATTGCACTAATGCATCTCTATGAGGAACGTTCATTGTCTCCATGCAGGGGGTGGAGACACTGAATGACAGTGCTGCACACTATGCAGCACTGCCTCAGGAGGCACCTCTAGCAGCCACCTGAGGAGTGGCCAGTGGAGATACCCATAGGCTGTAAAGTTAAAAATTGCATTTTCTCTGAAAAGACAGTGTTACTGCAAAAATCTTAAATGGATTGATTATACTCACCTGAACAAATACAATAAGCTGTAGTTGTTCTGGTGACTATAGTGTCCCTTTAACACAAATTACTCCATTTAGCATAGCTCCTCCATCTTTGTAAACTATAGGCTAATGGAGGTGGGGGCATGGGTGTTTCCATAAGAGTGAGATAATTGGCAACATTTTAATTTTGAGTGATTTCCTATAAGACAATTTTGAGTTCTTAATGTGATATAACAGCTTGAGGAAGGTTGGGAGGGAGGTCATCTAAGAACATCTTTAGGATGTGTGTACAGTACACCACCTTTGTACAATCATTTGGAGTTTCCACCATGTGAATTCAGCTTCCCGAAGTGTTGTAACACTTATATTTGTACACAGGTTAAAAACAGTTTGTCCTAAAAATGTGGGGTTTTGGTTCAGACAAATTTCTTCCATGTAATTTTTTGGGAAAAAACGATATGGATAAACCAAAATTGCGCTAAAATGCTTCTATTAGTGTATGGTAACACATACAAAAATCAGCTTCTCTATTCCCTCGCCCTTAATCATGAAACAAACAAAACAACTTGTCCATTGCTGTTTCTTTTGTTTTGTGATGCTCATATTGTGTTTCTAAATCGCAGTTCACCCAAAATTCAGACAAATCAAAAATGTTAAATCTCTTTAGTTTGGAAAATGGCACCTCAGAGGGGATTTGATAAGATTATACAAATATTTTTGGAGCCAGTACAAACCATTATCTGGAAATCTATTCATAAACAGGGCTATACATAGGACATGAGGTTACACATTTAGGCTGTAAGAAAGGAGATTTCATCTAAGGCAAAGAAAAGGTGTTTTTATTTTTTATTTTTTTATTCTTTATTTTTGCGGTGCATATGGGTTGAACACACATGCGTGTGGTGCCCCAACGGCACTCCACACACTAGTTCCATTACATTAACACAATGGGGTATGCAAAACAGTGCACAGTTTTTAGTATACAGGTTGTCGTTTAACTGCACATATTTTTTAAAACAATGTTAGGCAATACAATCAGCTTAAGTAAGCAACTTTAGAGAGTGTTCAAGCTTTAACTAGGCTTGCTCGGCATATTGGCTAGTTGCTGACATCATAGATCATGTATATATGAACATTCCAGTGAGCAATACAGGCTAGTTCTAGATTCTGTCTTTGCATTAGCTTGCTAATCGTTTATAGGTTAGTACAGTTAAAGAGGTAGCGTCGGTGGGGAAAAGGTTTTTTTACAGTAAGAGCAATAAGGAAATGTAATTCTCTGCCTGAAGAGGTGGTTTTATCAGAGTCCATACAGGAATATCATTTATAATTAGTGGGGTAATAGCTGCTTGATCCAAGGAGACCTCTGACTGCTATTTTGGGGTCAAGAAGGAATTTTTTCCTAATTTGTTGGAAAATTGGAAGCTCTTCAGACTAGGTTTTTTTTGCCTTCTTTTGGATCAACAGCAAAAAACAAATGTGAGGAAGGCTGAACTTGATGGACGCAAGTCTCTTTTCAATATGTAACTATGTAATCTGAAACCTAATGCAAAAGTATAGTCAGATTTGCAATGCAGCCTTTATGAAAGGGTCAGTGCCTGCCAGAGCTAGAGGAAAGTTGGAAGTGATGTGCTCCAGTTTGATTGACTTCTGTAGCCAATGGACCCATTTATGCACAAAAGGGCTATGGGAGTCACATATATGGTTTGAAGACTGCACAAGAGACTAGAGCAGGGGTAGTCAACCTTTTAATACCTACCGCCCACTTTTGAATCTTTGTAGATGGCAAAATTTCCTTACTGCCCACCAGTGCCGCAGTAACAATTTTTTTTTTTATATAATTCTTTATTTTGGAAGTGCAGAGGAAAATACATAAAATGACTGACATATGTTGTGGATTGCAAAAACGAGTGAGCACAGACTTAGGGTTAAAGCACAATATGTCAAGAGGAAACTGCACATTTTTTTTTTTTAAGTATAATGAGTAGATATATGATAGATAAGCATGTCACGGTATAGATATAACACAAGATGTACACTCAGATGAGGGAATTCCTAACAGGAAGGTTATTAGTTATGTTAAGAAGTATACAGGATTAAGTAGAGTAAGGTATAACATGCTACCCTTACCACCGGGTATTTATCATTAGTAAGTTTTGCTGTATGAAGTATATGGAGATCCCTGCACTGGAAACAGAATTTACTATGGATAATAGTTGTAGAGCAGAGTTTTTATCACCAGGGAGTCACCCCACACCTCGCATAGGCCACACTGTACAGTCCTGCTCCAGTCTGGATATGTTGCCGTTGCTTGATCTCATGCTGTGCTTGGGAAGTTGCCATCCTTCAGGCATGCAAGCTTCAGGTAGGCCCCTGCTCCTGGGTTCTTTGCCCTCCGAAGCCCAGGCCTTAAGTTGATGCGTCACTGCAGGACCGTGGACCCTCCATATCCTATTACCGGAGTCACGAGCCTGAGGTCGGAAACCCGTCGGGAGCTTGAGCAGCAAGGAGGGGCTTCTTCCGTGTGGGTCTCCGGTCTGACGCAGGGTCGGAGTTTCGACATTGCAGCTCGAGTGGTTAGTTGAGCTTGCGGAGTAAAGGCAGGGGGTCTGCTCATGATTTTCTCCGAAAACTTCTGGCAGATTCTATGAAATCTGGCTTCAAAACTCTCCCTCCAAGTCTGGGTGAGCGTGTTCTCTTGGTGCTGAATGTGTTGCACTGTTGCAGCCATTTTGAGCTCACCATGCTGTCGGCTGGTTAGTGGGGGATTCCATTGTTGTGAATAGTTGAGTTTCCCCAGCTGGGACTGGGATGACCCAGACCGGTCCAAAGGGGGGGATGCGGGTCTTCCAAGGGAGCTTGCCCCTTGCTGGGAGATCGTCCGCCTCCCCCATGCACTGGGCCGTAAACCACGATAGGCCTCATTGTCCGACATTGTGTGTTCTCGATGTCTCGGGTCATCTTGCTTAGCCTTGATTGCCCACTCGGTGCCAGGTAGTGTACCAGTCGTTTTTGGGCTGCATCTAGAGTGGTATTGAGCAGGAAAAGCTTATCTGATGCTTGGTTATGCTGGAGCTGTTGTTGAACACGTCTGTCCATCTTGGCTGTCAGGCCCCGCCCCTCGCCATAGCAACTAATCTTATAGCGTAAGATTTATTTATTTTTAATTTATTTATTTTTTCAAAAAATGTACTTAAGTTTAACAACTTTTTCCTTTCTTTTCTATTTTACTTTTTTTTTCTATGTGCTGTGTGTGTGTGTGTGTGAAGGGTGTTGTGTGTAAGGGGTGCTGTATGTGTGTAACGGGTGCTGTGTGTAATGGGGGCAGTTAGAGAGTGTGTGTGAAGTGTGCATAGGGTCTATGCTGTGTGTAGGTGGGTGAAAATCTATTTTAATGTCTCCCCCTCTCTTCTTCTTACCTTTTACCAGGGAGGGGGGACATAATACTGCAAGACCTGATGGTCCAGTGGTGGCATGTTCATTTTAACCTGCAGCTCCTCTGGCTGAAGACTGACCCTCCTGTGAGCACAGCACTGTATCAGAGCATTGCCATGGTAACGTGCAGCAAGGCCTACCCGCGGCAGGAACACAGAGCTTTCCAGGCCCTTCTCTCCCTCTGCTGCAACTAAGTGCTAGCGGGCCAGTGAGGGAAAATGTTTGATCTCCTTACCAGTCCGAGAGGGCTTACAGCAAGGCTGGTTCTGCATTTGCCGGCAGGGGAGATGAATGGATCTCGTCTTCCAGCCTTGGTCCACGTCTATCCAGGCCCACAGGGCATTTTCTCCAGAACCCACCATCGCCCACCTGAAATCCTAAACCACCCATTAGGGACCAGGATGACTACTCATGGACTAGAGGGTTGTAGCTATGTCTCTTGGGATCTCCCTCACTACATATTTGTCACAGTAATTTTGGATATTCGTCTCATGGTTTCATTTGTCTATGGACTTCATTGTGGAACTCCTGACTTCTAAAGGCTATACCACCATCCTTATGGTGGTTGATCGCTTTCAAAAATGGCACACTTTGTACCGCTCAAAAAGTTACCTTCTTCCCAAGATCTGGTTCATATACTTATACGCGAAATTGTCAGATTACGTGGTATTCCACAAAATATTGTGTCAGACAGGGGTTCCAAATTTGTGTCATGATTTTGAAGAGCATTTAACAAACAGTTGGGTATAGAATTGTCATTTTCATCTTCGTACCATCCTCAAACTAATGGTGCAGCTGAGAGGGCCAACCAGTCGTTGGAACTATATTTGCGATGCCTTATTAATGGCACTCAGGAAAACTAGTCTGACTTGCTTCCTTGGGCTGAATTTGCCAGGAAAAATGCTACCCATGACTCATCTGGACATTTTTTTTTCAACAATGGTCATCATCCTACTGTTCTTTCTGCGGTGTTCTCCGACACTGCTATTCCTGCTCTGGATGAACATCTTGCATGTATACATGAGACTTGGTCTAAGGTCCACACGGCTCTTGAAACTACTGCAGCTCGTTTCATATTTCATGCTGATAAGCGGAGTGGTGCCAACCCTGCTTACCAGGTGGGTGATCGGGTATGGCTCTCCTTGCGAAATATCAGATTCAAGGTTCCTAGCATGAAGTTTGCACCCAGGTTTATTGGTCCCTTTCAAATTGTTTGGAAAAACATCCGATCCTCTATTCCATCTATCACGCAGACCTATCCATCTGCCGAGGTGTAGTTTAACCACCCAAAACTACAAACCCCATAAGGATTTTGCAGCCGTACCAAAATGACGTGAACCACATGTTTTGGCAAACAATGCCAATTATTAACCCTCGTTTTTAAACTTATTTACACAAATTAAACTGCCTCAAAGTTAGATCTTTTGAAATATTGGAATTTAACTGTTTTGTACATGTTATCACATAATGATTTTTCATTGGATGTACGAATTTTGGTGCCAATTTGAACTTATCCCATACCTATAAAAACTCAAACAGTGCCAGGTAGAAAGTTTTTACTCCATTGATAAAGCCATCACGGCGAAATACGTTTGGATATATATTATTGTTGTTTTTTTTACTAATTGATTTTGGTTACCTACAATTGTGCTACTATCTTTTTATTATACTTTTATTATATTATTATTTTATTTCTTTTACGTTATTCTGATACAATAACTTTTATTCCACCTGGCAACTACAATTTCTATCCTGTACTCCAAAGAATCCCAGGTAGGGATCAATCCACCGTTGCTGTCATCATAGAGCAGTTAGCCTGCTCTATCTCTTTGAGTATAATTTTTATCACATCTTACCGGCCATTTATATCCTATTGAGAGTACTATCGCTGCCTTTTACTTCTTGTCATTTTGGGTTCCAGACACCTCCATCTCTAAGAACACACATACCATTGTGGGGATATTTATGGGATAATAATAGTAACAGTTGAGAATTGCCCACTATTTCAATTCTCAGATCCCAAAGAACGTTTATCGTGTTAAGTGAAAAGTATTTCATATAAATAATCACAATGTATAAAAATAGATTTTATTTATGATAACCAATAATTAACAAATAATATTATGTAACATGCATGACAATAATCAATGAATATTCAGTATAAAACGATATGCAATACAAAGAAATGGGTATTACGTTTCAATGGCTAAACGGCATTATCTGTCAAGACTTCTACGATTTATGATTAGCTTTCACAGACTGAAAGTTAAACTTTTCACAGAAGAACAGAATTCCTCAGAGTGCAGCGTAAGGTCGTAAAGTTTAGCAGACAGTTAGAATAACCCTTTCAATGCTGGCTAGATCTCCTAGGTAGTTAAGATCTATTCTTATGTATTTTTAAATAAAATAACATTTAAACCAGTTCACTAGTCATTTTCTTAAACCATCCATAAGAGAATTTACCACATTATATAAGCAGATTTTTAATTTGTCTAAAAGATATCTATCTTAATTTAGAGCAAATCAATACACCTGGATAAAACAGCGGTATGCTAACACGTGATAATATCACATCAATATATAATTATTCTTAATTCCACCTGCAGAATGGAATGTTTATAACTATATATTCTTAGTTAACTAAGATTTCTTAATATGGAAATCTGACCGTGCTTTATCCAGTCATATATAATGCTATTAATACATTTTAATTAATTTAATTTAATTAAATGAAACCAGTATAATTACCAGTTGAGTAGATATTTCATCCGATTGGTAGTCTCTCTGCATGGAGGTGTTGGTTAGAAAGTCAGTAAATTCTAAGTGTTAGAGTTTTAGGAGTAGAATGTTAGTCTCAGATGTTGTCCGAGTTGGAATCCCCAAACTTCCAATTCCTCTCTCCTCTCCGTTGCATATCTTGCATGTGCCTCCTCTCGTATCTTGTCTCTTGTCTCTTGTCTCTTGTATCCCTATCTTCCCTTTGTCTTAACTTTTAAAGGGCCAGACTCTCTGTACGTCATCAGTTGATAACCCAATAGAAGCACTAGAGGTGTGGTTATCTTCCAGATCGCAAATTAGTTATTTGGTCTGTAGAGGGCAGTCTTGTCCCACTAAACATACCTATCCAGGAAAGAGTTAACTTTTCCTGGTGGCTATTTTGACGTCATTTTGCGTTATCTTTATAGCGCCATAATTTAAAATTTCAAAGGGTTTCTTAAATTTTGTCCAGACTTAGCGTCTGCAATTCCTGCCATAATTTCTGATATGACAGATCATGAACTAAGTTTACCCTTTTCCATACAATGGTACCTTATATATATAGACAGTTAAATATTAAATTATTTAATCTTCTCTGTCACAATTGTCTGGGTTTAGATTTGATTATATTCCATTAGCATTTTAGACAGTCTATCCAACCCCCTTCCTTATCACTTGTTTGTATATACTATGCATTCCTCAAATCTGGGAAAGTGGTTAGCTTACAGATAGAAATATAGTGTCTTTTTGTTAACTTGAAATAACAAAATGGAGTCTGGTCTGTTCAGAGTGACTCAGAATATACACTTTTAGTTTCTATCATAGCACAAAATGTCTGCCGATATAAATACTCTGACACCATATAGTGGGGATTATACCGCTGTATGCTAAACACACCAGAGCTGGCTGCCAATTTATATCTTATTGAGAGCACTATTGCTACCTGTTTTGTCATTTTGGATCTTGACATCTCTCAAGTCCTAGAACACTCGCATTATATCAGTCAGTGGGGATCATACCGCTGGATGCTATACATACCAGAGCTGGCATAAGCTCCACCACATGGGAGTGAAACCCTACTATTTTATTGCTATATCTATACCCAGTGAGATTTAACACACTATCAAGCTTCTTCACTTTTTGTCGCCCCTCTCTGAATATTACAGTCATCTGAGAAGTGGAAAGACTACATCCTCCTGACCTCATAAGAACTCACCTGATCAAAGGACCCCTATCAAGACTTTTCTGTAATATATATATATATATTTCTACTATTGACTTATAGTTTGTGGCGCAGCCCTACCTTACCTTTGTGTTACCTATTTTTGTGATTTAGACCATGTGGGTCTAGAGTTTTAGGTGGTATACCCAGTTGATTTCCTTTTTGCCCAAAATATTTTATATGTTACCTCCTCTCCAAGGTAATTTACATTTCGGAATGCCCATTACTTTTAGTAGCTTAGGGTAATTATTGTGAATTTCAAAGTATTTTGATACACTGTGGTTCATAAAGCATTTGCATTCCTACAGTGTTCTGCCAGTCTCATTTTTAAACATCTTGTTGTCATACCCATGTATTGGAGGCCGCATGGGCATTCCAATAAGCATACAACAGTTTTAGTGTTGCAAGTAATTAAATCTTTTATTTTATATAGTTTCTTTGTTTGATTGGACATGAATTCACTGGTTTTATTCGTTATAAGGTTTGTGGATTTACATATGATACATCCTTTACACTTATAGAAACACAAATAGTTGCATAAAGTAGCAGTTGCATTCATTCGTATAATTTCTAGTGAGGTAGCTCTTTAAATTTGGTGCTCTTCTAAAAATGATCTGAGGGTTCTGGGTGTGGTGACATTTTGTCATCAAACTAATATGGTGACCAGGGGTCATGCGACCAAGCTCATGTATGCCTTTCTTACAGGGGGATAAGCTTTACCCTTTGATATGCTAATTAGGTAATTCAATACCTTTTCAAGTCAGGAAAGAGAGAACCACTTCCCCCTATTGCCATTCCTCCCTGTTCCTTCTTGGCTGTGCTACCGAGCAGACACTTGAGCAGACGGGCTAATTTTTATCATGGTGAACTGTGAGTGGGATCTGATTACTTTATAAGGTTTAGTTGTTATTGTCAGTTAGTTAGATTGTGGTTGTTGTTGTTTTAGTTAGATTGTGTGTCATTGTTTGTATGTTGTTGTTGTTGTTGTTGTTTTGTCTCTGAATAAATATTTGTTAAAGTAGACGGACCAGAGTTTATATGTGTATTGTCAGTATATTTATATCGGCAGACATTTTGTGTTAAGACATAATTTAAAGGTGTATACTGTAAGTCACCCTCAGAACAGAGGTGACTCCATTTTGTAACAGAATGTAAAGACAGGCACAAAGTTTGTTTTTTCTCATTCTGTAACTATTCATTCACGTCTGAGCTAAGGAATGCGACTTATGTAAACAAGACAAGAGATAAGGCATGATATCTAACAGCAAAAGGGGGGTTGAATGCTACAACCCAGAGATAAAAATATATATATTATCTCTATATTTAAATATATATACATACACACACAATATCCACGTATAACTTGCTATTATTATATTAATCATATATAATTAGTACTATGTTAATAATATAGAATATTCATGGATATAATATCAATGAAGAAATGTCATATTATTACTAACGTTAGTGGAATATGTGTAATAGACATATATGTGTAATCTTAACTACAGTTTCACACAAGAAAACCAGACACCAAATGACAGATAACATTAAGCAATTAATTTTACTTTCTAAAAAAAAACAACTAACGGAATATTACAAGTTCCATTGTAAGAAAAGGTGAAAATAAGGCTACAGGTGTCAATTCTAAAATTACGACCAAAAAAACAGACGCTCTGGCTGGTTGAAAACCAGCCAAACTCTTTGAGGATGACACGTTCTGTGATGTATAGTAGCCATAAGAGATAACGAAAATGACGGTAAACGCATCACGAAATTCAGTTAACCCATTATACAAAAAGGTAAATGGACCCCCTGACAAGAATTTTTGGTGATGTAATTGCGCCATTTACTGACCAAAATCTAGATGATAGTCTGTAGGGAAGAAACACCCACAGTTCGCTATTGGTTACTATTAAGTATGGACGTGTAAGGAACTAGTCCTTTAAAAATGAAGGACAAAGGGAAAAGAGACCGTCTCAAACACTCTCTGGGACACACACATTCTGACTCTTGGACTGGACTCAAGACTCCCACTCTCAAACACTCTTTTGGACAATCTGACATGGAGCCAAAGCTGGACACATCTAACTATACTTTTCCAACTAACACAACTTCAGAACTCTTCTATTTCCATACAATTCTCTATACATCATACTTGCAATCAAAATTCCTGGGACATATCTACACACCCGAAAAGAATTTCTACAACATAACTGGTAATTATGCTGGTTTTATTTAATGTAATTAAATTAATTGATTTTACTAAAAGGCAGAATATACTTGGATAAAAGCTGGTGATTCCAACAATTAAGGAGTCATGATTCGTTAATAATATATATAATTCAGAATTACATTCCTGCAGGTGGACCAATGAACTCTATATTACTTTTAAAGGGACACTATAGTCACCTGAACAACTTAAGCTTAATGAGGTTGTTCAGGTGAGAACTATAGCTCCCTGCAGCCTTTCTCATGTAAACACTGTATTTTCTGTGAAAATACAGTGTTTACATTGAAAGCTAGGAACACCTCCAGTTGCAGTCACTCAGAGTGAACCAGAGGGACTTCGGAGTTGATAGAGGCATAATATGCCTCCATCCACTCAGATCTGCTGTCAGCAGATCACAGGGCAGCACTGTGCACAGCATCCTGTGATTCAGTATCTCCTCCCTCTGCATGCAGACACTGAATGTTCCTCATAGAGATTCATTGATTCAATTCATCTCTATGAAGAGATGCTGATTGGCCAGGGCTGTGTTTGAATCATGCTGGCTCTGCCCCTGATCTGCCTCTTTGTCAGTCTCAGCCAATCCTATGGGGAAGCATTGTGACTGGATCAGGCTACCACATGTAGACTGCTTGTTTTTCTGAGTCTAACAGCATGCAGATGTACAGCTTCAGGCTTGAATACACTAAGATTTTTACTATATTTATGGAGGCATGAGATGTTTGTGTTCCTGACCCTATAGTGATCCTTTAACTTTAACTTTAAAAATAGAATACCAGGCAATTATCCAAATATATTAGCTTATATAATTTAGAAATAGTGAATCTTAATTAAGGAAGTTAAAATTCTGCATACGTAAAATCTGTTAAGATTATTCTTATTGGATGGACATAGAAATGGGGAATGATCTGGTATGAGAATTATTGTAGTTGTAAAATTGCAATATAATAGGATATCTTGCCCATGAGGATTGTAGCTAGCAGTGAAAGAGTTAATTCAGTGTGATTTGACTGTCAGCCAAAGTTCTTATTGCTTTATGCTGTGCTGCAGTGAAATGCTGTGTTCTCTGTTAATTTTGTTTCTAAGTGAAATGTCCTATTGTAAATCTTGTTGACAACTGTTGCATATATAACTGTTGTTTTTAGCTGTCTATATTGTGTTAAAACCACTGCCATATTGTATACTTATGTTATACCTAAATATTCACTGATTGTCACGCATGTTACATATATTATTTTTATTATTATTGTCACAATAAATTATATTTTTATAATTAATTTGTGATTAATGTGTGAAATAAAAATCTTCTGGTAAAACTTACTCTAGGATCTAAGAAAATTAAAATAGTGGGTAATTCTCAGCTTTAAATAATTAATCGAGGAAATAGTGCCAAGATATACATTTTTGATAAAATAAAAATTATTAAATTAATTTATGATTTTTATGAAAATATTATTTTAAATATTTATAACCCCATAAATATCCTCACAGTATGCGTACATAGTTTAGAAGTTGGTAATATACCACAATGGGAGAAAAAATTATTTAAGATATTGTCTTATAAGTGGATTTGCCAATGTTTCTCGATTATACTTTAGATTTTTTTACTTTTATTATTAAAATAAAAAATCACAGGGAGTGTTGGGACATCTCTGGTGTCTTTCTTTTTTATACTGTAAAGAATATTCCTGTCTTTTTGTTTCACTTTTTCTATTATAGAATCTAACAATCTTTCAGAATAATTTTTTATCTAAAAACGGTTTCTTTAAAATTTGTGGCTGATCATTGTTAGTCTTCAATAAGTGAACAATTCCTTCTCATCCTTAAAAATAGACTTTTTGGAATACTATTGAGCTAAGGGCTATAATGACCGCTACCTTGGTCTATGACTTTGTTTGTATGCACTTTTATTTTAAAAATGTGCATGTGTTAATCTTATGGTCTTTGAAAATGTAGAGGTCATGTGTTAATCTTATTGTCTTAGATGAAAAACATATGAAAATTAAAAGTGCATTCGAGACAAACATGACTGCTCTAATAACAAAATAAGATCACATCATCAGAATAAAAGGTATATACAAGAACAAGAAAACCAAACTACTGTCTGCTACCAACACCATCCATGTATTGTTGTATCTAAGCCTAAAAACCCCTACACCCACAAATCCCCATACAAACACAGACCCCATTCACCAGGGTCAATCTTGGGGTCACTGATGCCTGCCTGCAAGAATATTTTTGTGCGGTCCCCCCACCCCCTTTGTGTGGCTATATTGCTAATGCCTCCTCTTTACAAACATTGCACTTCTAACCACACCCATTTTCTATGGAAAACACTCCACCCCCAACCCAGGTCACATGTCACCCACTTCCTACAGTGCCAGTTTTGCCCCCCAAAAGCTTATTAGGGCCATATTTGTGCCCAGATTCCCAGTGCTGCCTCAGGCCCTGGGGAGATAGCGCAGCTAAGCGGACAAGGGCACATGTAGGAGTGTGGGGATAGATGCATGGGATCGGTTTAACCCCTAAAGGACACATGACATGTCTGACATGTCATGATTCCCTTTTATTCCAGAAGTTTGGTCCTTAAGGGGTTAAAAGAGTGTGTGGGTGGGATTATGTTCTGTGTAAGTTAGTGTGGGGGAGGTCTTACCTCAGTGCCACTTGGGATTCGGGCCAGCAAACAGCTTCCCTCCCGCCCGCCCTATTGGTATATTTCGTCACAGCTAGCCGGGGGTATGTCCTTGCCAATTGAGTTTGAGTGGTTACGTTTAAGTATATGGAATGAGATGAACAAGTTTTTTTAGGTCTCAACCTCCCCTGCTTCAAAAGGTTAAACATTAGGTTGCCTGAGGTGTCGTGCCCATCGAGCGTGGATAAGGTCGGCTGATGGCGGGCATTGGAAATATATGATTTTTATGACGAGGGGGGAGGTGAGAGGAAGTGGTGATTAGGAACCACTGTATGTTTATTGGCAAGGACGGTTGGGTCACTGTATAACACTATGGGTGGAGTTATATATGTATATATGTTAATTTATGCTTATTTATGTCTAACGTTTTGGTTACAGAAAGAAGAGATTAAATAAATAAAGTTATGGATGTGTTATGCAGTAATTTAGTTTGTGATAATAGATGCTGTGGCCTGTTCATCCATACTAAGTGGTCTGTTGTTATTGGGGGGGGTAAATGGGTTTAAATTTGTGCTAGGATGCATCGCGATTCCCCACTACGTACATACATGTCCCCATACAGCTTCCCAGTGCCATCTTTGTCTCAATATAGCTAATCAGTGCTATCTCTCTGTCCCAATATAGCTAATTAGTGCCATCTTAGTCTCAAATTTTCTTTGTTCCCATCTTATCAGTGTCACTTTTGTTTCCAAATAGCTTAATAGTGCCATATTTGTGCCCAAATCACTGACCAGTGTCATTGTTGTCCCAAAATTGCTAATCAGTGACATTTCTTTTCCTCAGAGAGCTTGTCAGCTGGTAGTGTTTTTGTATGAACTATGTGTAAGCTGGATGTATTTTGCAGAGAGTCAATGTATTTGGAATGCAGAAATGTATTTACAGATGTGTGTGAATTCAAATGAATATTTGTGTATAATAATTTTGTGTACAGATGCAGTTATTGAATAATTGTATGAAATGTGTTAGTAAGTTCAAGAATGTTTTTGTAACACACATGTGTGTGTATGTTTGTATGTATGAGTGTCCTTCACTGGATGTTACTGTGTGTGCATGCATTGTTGTTCTCAGCAGTATGTTTGTTTATTTTTCTAAATGTCCCTCTGTGACCTATCTCACCATTCTCTTTTAGTTTTGGCTCTATCCCATCCCCTATGTGGACTAGGGACTTCATCCCAAAAATACATTTGATATCCCCTCCAATAGCTTACATTAAGCTTGCCCAATATCCACCTCGGCTGTACCATAAAAAATGGAAACATTGATGAAATGCTGCCCCCTCCTCACCACAAGCATGCACGCCAAAACACAACCACATCCATTATGATATGCAGTGTGTAGTGAATAGTGTCTGAGAGTGTGCAGGGAATGCAGTGTGTCTGTGTATGTGTTGGGGATGCAGTGTGTTTCTAGTTTGTGCAGGGAATGCAGGGTGTGTCTGTGTGCAGGGAGTGCAGGGAATGCAGTGTGTCTTTGTGTGTGTGCAGGGAATGCAGGGTGTGTCTGTGTGCAGGGGATGTAGTGTGTGCATGGGATGCAGTGTGTTTTACATTTTTAAAATGTAAAAAAACACCCACAATAATCTTTAATGTTTTCAAGAATATTCATTCTATAAATATGTAAACTGTATGTTAATAAGAGTCCCCTCAAGGCACCATTAGAGACTACAATGGAGTCTAAAGGGCCCTGAAGATTGTTTTCTCTAAAATGCGGCCCATTTTAACAAAGATCTGTGATACCTAGCTCAAGCTGTCTCTTCTCATCTTAATTACTGTTGCTGGCTGGCTGCTGTGACTGTCTGACTGCTGTGGCCAGCTAGCAGGCTGGCTGCTGTGGCTAGCCAGCTGGCTGCTGCTGGCAACTGTGACTGGCCCACCAGCCCTTCTGTGTGTCTCTTTGTGACTCAGCCCCTTTGTGTGTCTCTTTGTGCCCCCAGCCCATCTCTGTGTCTTTGTCCCTTCTCAGCCCATCTGTGTTCCTTTCTCCCCCAGCATCTCTGCGTGTCTCTTTAGCCCCCTCCCCTCCTGTGCCCTATTTAGCCTTTCTCTACTTCTGTGCCCTTATGCAGCCACCCTTTAGCCCCCTCCCCTTCTGTGCACACTTTAGCCCCCCTCTCCTCCTGTGCCCTTATGTAGCCCCCTTCCCTCCTTTGCCCTCTTAAGCCTCCTTCCCTTCTGCGCCCTCTTTTGCCCCTCCCCTTTCTGTGCACCTTTTAGCCACATTCCTTCCTCTGCATTCTTTTAGCCCCCCCTCCTCGCTTGTGCCCTCTTTTGCCCCTCCCCTTCTGTGCCCTTTTTAGCCCATCTCCCCTCCTGTCCCCTTATGTAGCCCTTCTTCCCTCCTGTGCACTCTTTAGCCCCTCTTCCCTCCTGTCCGCTTATGTAGCCCCCCTCCTGAGCCCTCTTTAGCATCTCCCTTTCTGTGCCCTTATTAGCCCCTCTCCCCTCCTGTACCCTTATGTAGCCATTTTCCCCTCCTATGCACTATTTAGACCCTCTCCCCTCCTGTCCGCCTATGTAACCTCCCCTCCCCTGTGTGTGCTCACCTTCCAACCCAGCCAGCCTTCTATGAGCTCTGAGGGCCTTCAGACAGGAGCCGAAGCTTAAAATGAAGGGTGTGGTTTAGCAAGAGGGGCGGAGCCTAATGCCCTAATGCGCCTCTACTCACAGAGCACCTGGGCACTGTGCACCATGTGCACCCACCCAGGATCGCCTATGCCATTCAACCTCACCTTACTACAATCAACCCATTTCAGGC